TTCCTGGGTGCTGGAGGAACAGCTGGATTGGCCATTGGAAAACAAAGTGATCGACTGAAGATGAGCCTTGAGGCCAGATTGGTACCGGACCCCCTTGAAAGCTTCATGCTTTCGTGATACATCAAGCGGTGCTTGATAACCAAATTGATGAGTGGCTGCGCGATGGATATCTAAGTGTGTCCCAGGTAGTTACAAGCTGGTCTTGTATTCGTTTACCGCGCTACCTGCGGCGGGGTTAGCCCGTGCGAGTACCTGCCAGGGTGGATCTGATAAAGGCAGGGATACATTGTTTTGGGCCCGTCGTGGTCCTCACAAGTCCGACTGAATTTGCTGCTCCGATGGTGCAGACATCTGATTACTTCAGTCGTGATGTTTTCTCCGCTCCTGACTTAATGTCAGGTTTGATGCCAGGTTTCATTGCAGGTCCTGAATTTTTGCAGATCCGATGGAACCAACGGCTTTTCTATCCGCAGACCACGATTTCAGCTCCGAGACAAAAGCTTTACTCCGTGAAATCGAGACAGGTAAACGTACCTGTAGTGGTCGGCATGGGCACTTGAGTGCAGCTTGTGGCCACAAATCGATTTGTTTGACAACATGAGTGTAATGCAGCTTTTCGAAAGACTGCAGGGGGCAGAGGGTCTCATTTCACGGCCCCTGCCAACTCTGACAACTGTCAAAAACTGTGCCACAACAGGAACATTGGGGAGGTGCTGCTTTCTTAAACGCCCTGGCTGTCTCAGCTGTCGGTCGGCAAGCACCGCGGGGCTGCGGCATTTCAGTAAGACCTGCGAACTGTGGATGCTTGACCGTGTTAATAGGACATGCACTGCAGGGCTGCGGCATTCTGTAAGACCTGCGAACTGCAAGTGCAGTCCTCTACCGGGATTTGCAGGGCCTCATGTGGCCACCCTTTACCGTCCCTTTTCCTTTTTCCGCATGTGTCGTTTCGTAGTCATAGTTTTATCTTTTTCAATGCTCACAGCCAGGGAGGCTTTTTCCAGCCTGAAAGGCTGCCTCCAGCTGCAGCTCCTTTACCTTCACTGCTATTATGTTTTAAGGCTACACAGCTAACCGCCCGCCCTCCTGCAGAGCTTTTGTCGGTTCCTTTTTCAGTTTCCGCTTCCCCATTGCAAACTAGGGGCCAAGCAAAGAAGCCTGTTGGCTACCCCGCAAAGCGGGGTGTGTGTGTGGAACACCTGTTTGCCAAGGTGCTAATGATTCATTCGTATACTTTCATGCAGGGGGCGCGGGGTCCTCTGACACAGCTCGCGCCAACGAAGCTCTGTGTCAGATGGACAGGAAAACGTACCTGCAGGTCAGTTCCTGGGTGCTGGAGGCACAGCTGGATTGGCCATTGGAAAATAAAGTGATCGACTGAAGATGAGCCTTGAGGCCAGATTGGTACCGGACCCCCTTGAAAGCTTCATGCTTTCGTGATACATCAAGCGGTGCTTGATAACCAAATTGATGAGTGGCTGCGCGATGGATATCTAAGTGTGGTGTGTAGTGTGTCTGTGTGTTCTGTGTGTGTGGTCTGTATGATGTGTGTCTGTGTGTATGTGTGTGGTGGGTCTGTGGTGTTGTGTGTGTGTGTGTCTCGTGTCGGTTTGTCTGTGTGTGTTGTGGGTGTGTATGTGTGTGTATGTGTGTGTCTGTGTGGTCTGTCGTGTGTCTGTGTGGGGTCGAGTGTGTCTGTGTGTGTCTGTGGTGGTCTGTGTGTGTCTGCGTCGTGGTCTCGTGGTGTCTGCGTGGTGTGTGTGTGTGTGTGGTGTGTGTGTGTGTGTGTGGTGTGTGTGTGTGTGTGGTGTGTGTGTCTGTGGTGTGTGTGTCTGTGGTGTGTGTGTGTGTGTGTGTGTCTGTGGTGTGTGTGTCTGTGGTGTGTGTGTCTGTGGTGTGTGTGTGTGTGTGTGTGTCTGTATGTGTATGTGTGTGTGTGTGTCTGTGGTGTGTGTGTGTGTGTGTGTGTGTGTGTGTGTGTGTGTGTGTGTGTGTGTGTGTGTGTGTGTGTGTGTGTCTGTGTGTGTGTGTGTCTGTGTCTGTGTCGGTGTCTGTGTCTGTGTCGACTGTTTGTGTGTCTGTGTCTGTGTCTGTGTCTCTGTGTGTGTTTCTGTCTGTGTCTGTTGTCTTGCTGTGTCTGTGCTGTGTCTGTAGTCTGTGCTCTGGTGTCTGTGTCTGTGTCTGTGTGGGCGTGTGCGTGTGTGCGTGTGGGTGTGTGGGCGTGTGCGTGTGTGCGTGTGTGCGCGCGTGCGCGCGTGCGCGCGTGCGCGCGTGCGCGCGTGCGCGCGCGTGCCTGCGTGCGTGCGTGTGTGAGTGTGCCCTACAGGCCTGTATAGGACTTTGCTGGTTCCACATTTGTCGCCGTGGCTGCACATGTACGTGCAATGCGTGCTGCCCCTGCAAACAGCTTCGATGTTGCAGGCCGGCGCCCTCGCAAGCGGGTGCTTGGATGCTAACTGCCAAAGGACTGCTTGATTACTAGAGAGCTTCCTATACCCCTGGCTGCCACGTTCTGCGATTTTACTGAGTTTACGATCCATCATGTGCGGCCATTGGCAGTATCCGAAAGTCAGATCATCGATCTACCCTGGCACATCCCCAACTGATTTAGAATTTAGACATCTTCACAAACAAAGACCTGCTCGGAACTAGTGCAGCAGCAGCTAGCAGCAACCTTACTTTCAGTGTGCTCTTAGCTTCCAATTCCTTCGTTCGAATTGGAAAGCTTGGGCCTGCAACCTTTTTACTTGACAGGGAGCCGTTGCTCGTTCTCTGTCTTTCAAGCTTTAAGCCTTTGAGGATGAGGAGTTTGTTGCCTACGCAGTCTACAGAGTTTACAGGTTTGGGGCTTTGGGGTTTTGGTGCCTCAGATCGCCCTTCGGCAGAGCGGCTAGAGTCGTGCACAGTTCGGCTGCACACGTGGTGCAGACATCGCATTACGTGAAACGCTGGTCGATGATGAGGCAACCATTGGGCGGAGGGCATGAACAAGTACTGATGCCTTCACTGAGTATGATGGCCCTCCCTCGGCAGAAAACTGCAGTACGTGGATGCCTCTTCCAGCCATTCTATGTGCGCAAGGAGTGAGACGGCGGCATCTCGCACGCTAAACTGCGCACTGCTGCCGGGCACTAGGATCACTAGAAGTTCCGCATCTGCGGGGCAGTGGCAGGTGATGCCGAGTGTAGGGACTCACCGGCACCGATGTTGATGAATCCTGGAATCCTTTCCACGAGAAAGCTGTTCCGCCTCAACTCTGAGGGATTACTTCTATGGCTTGGCCCCATACGAATACGGATTCCAGGCGGGTCTGCGCTGCCCGTAAACCTAACGGGGCGAGCGTTCCGAGGAAGCCGAGGAAAAGCGGGACACTGAAGCCGTAGCCCAGTTCGCCCCTAGAACTGCTCGCAGTGCAATCGGTCACTCAGAGTTTTGGCGTGTGCAACTCGGAGCCTTCCAAGAGCAGCTAGCCCAGAGATTTAGATTCGACACCACCACATACAACTTTGTTGCGTGGTCCTTGCCAGGCTGTGGGCTACATCTCTTCAAGCTATGATTCCTCAATCCGTGTTGTAGACTCTGGACGTGCAGTGTAGCTCTGGCCTCCTCTGGCGATTGTCTTCATGCCTTGCAAGATGAAGACTGGATCCCATCCGATCGCTCGATCGTTGATAGCTTCTTGAAATCTAGAGGATTGCTCGCATCTTACGGCACTCCCTTCAACATATGCTGCGGGCAAGAGAAGTCTTCGACTGCAAACAAAATCTAAACAATGAAGCTTGAAATTCGTGTCTAACTCCTGAGCACACCGTGTCCATCTCGAGATCGCTTTGGCGCCTCCGCAGCAGACGCTGCCTCCTCAGCCTTTGGTGCCTCGGCAGCTGGCTCCTCAGTCTTTGGCGCTTCTGCGGCTGCCTCCTCAGCCTTTGGTGCCTCGGCAGCTGGCTCCTCAGTCTTTGGCGCCTCTGCGGCTGCCTCGGCAGCTGGCTCTTCAGTCTTTGGCGCTTCTGCGGCTGCCTCCTCAGCCTTTGGTGCCTCGGCAGCTGGCTCCTCAGTCTTTGGCGCCTCTGCGGCTGCCTCGGCAGCTGGCTCCTCAGTCTTTGGCGCTTCTGCGGCTGCCTCCTCAACCTTTGGTGCCTCGGCAGCTGGCTCCTCAGTCTTTGGCGCTTCTGCGGCTGCCTCCTCAGCCTTTGGTGCCTCGGCAGCTGGCTCCTCAGTCTTTGGTGCTTCTGCGGCTGCCTCCTCAGCCTTTGGTGCCTCGGCAGCTGGCTCCTCAGCCTTCGGTGCCTCGGCAGCTGGCTCCTCAGTCTTTGGCGCTTCTGCGGCTGCCTCCTCAGCCTTTGGTGCCTCGGCAGCTGGCTCTTCAGTCTTGGGCGCTTCTGCGGCTGCCTCCTCAGCCTTTGGTGCCTCGGCAGCTGGCTCCTCAGTCTTTGGCGCCTCTGCGGCTGCCTCGGCAGCTGGCTCTTCAGTCTTTGGCGCTTCTGCGGCTGCCTCCTCAGCCTTTGGTGCCTCGGCAGCTGGCTCCTCAGTCTTTGGCGCCTCTGCGGCTGGCTGGGCAGCTGGCTCCTCAGTCTTTGGCGCTTCTGTGGCTGCCTCCTCAGCCTTTGGTGCCTCGGCAGCTGGCTCCTCAGTCTTTGGCGCCTCTGCGGCTGCCTCGGCAGCTGGCTCCTCAGTCTTTGGCGCTTCTGCGGCTGCCTCCTCAGCCTTTGGTGCCTCGGCAGCTGGCTCCTCAGTCTTTGGCACTTCTGCGGCTGCCTCCTCAGCCTTTGGTGCCTCGGCAGCTGGCTCCTCAGTCTTTGGCGCCTCTGCGGCTGCCTCGGCAGCTGGCTCTTCAGTCTTTGGCGCTTCTGCGGCTGCCTCCTCAGCCTTTGGTGCCTCGGCAGCTGGCTCCTCAGTCTTTGGCGCCTCTGCGGCTGCCTCGGCAGCTGGCTCCTCAGTCTTTGGCGCTTCTGCGGCTGCCTCCTCAACCTTTGGTGCCTCGGCAGCTGGCTCCTCAGTCTTTGGCGCTTCTGCGGCTGCCTCCTCAGCCTTTGGTGCCTCGGCAGCTGGCTCCTCAGTCTTTGGTGCTTCTGCGGCTGCCTCCTCAGCCTTTGGTGCCTCGGCAGCTGGCTCCTCAGCCTTCGGTGCCTCGGCAGCTGGCTCCTCAGTCTTTGGCGCTTCTGCGGCTGCCTCCTCAGCCTTTGGTGCCTCGGCAGCTGGCTCCTCAGTCTTTGGCGCTTCTGCGGCTGCCTCCTCAGCCTTTGGTGCCTCGGCAGCTGGCTCTTCAGTCTTGGGCGCTTCTGCGGCTGCCTCCTCAGCCTTTGGTGCCTCGGCAGCTGGCTCCTCAGTCTTTGGCGCCTCTGCGGCTGCCTCGGCAGCTGGCTCTTCAGTCTTTGGCGCTTCTGCGGCTGCCTCCTCAGCCTTTGGTGCCTCGGCAGCTGGCTCCTCAGTCTTTGGCGCCTCTGCGGCTGGCTGGGCAGCTGGCTCTTCAGTCTTTGGCGCTTCTGCGGCTGCCTCCTCAGCCTTTGGCGCCTCGGCAGCTGGCTCCTCAGTCTTTGGCGCCTCTGCGGCTGCCTCGGCAGCTGGCTCCTCAGTCTTTGGCGCTTCTGCGGCTGCCTCCTCAACCTTTGGTGCCTCGGCAGCTGGCTCCTCAGTCTTTGGTGCCTCTGCAACTACCTCCACAGCTGGCTCCTCCGTCTTGGGCGCCTCTGCGGCTGCCTCTTCAACCTTTGGTGCCTCGGCAGCTGGCTCCTCAGTCTTTGGCGCCTCTGCGGCTGCCTCGGCAGCTGGCTCCTCAGTCTTTGGCGCTTCTGCGGCTGCCTCCTCAACCTTTGGTGCCTCGGCAGCTGGCTCCTCAGTCTTTGGCGCTTCTGCGGCTGCCTCCTCAGCCTTTGGTGCCTCGGCAGCTGGCTCCTCAGTCTTTGGTGCCTCTGCGGCTGCCTCGGCAGCTGGCTCTTCAGTCTTTGGCGCTTCTGCGGCTGCCTCCTCAGCCTTTGGTGCCTCGGCAGCTTGCTCCTCAGTCTTCGGTGCCTCTGCGGCTGCCTCTTCAACCTTTGGTGCCTCGGCAGCTGGCTCATCAGTCTTTGGCGCTTCTGCGGCTGCCTCTTCAACCTTTGGTGTCTCGGCAGCTGGCTCCTCAGTCTTTGGCGCCTCTGCGGCTGCCTCCTCAGCCGTTGGTGCCTCCGCAGCTGGCTGCTCAGACTTTGGCGCCTCTGTGGCTGCCTCCTCCGTCTTTGGTGCCTCGGCAGCTGGCTCCTCAGTCTTTGGTGCCTCAGCAGCTGCCTCCTCAGTCTTTGGTGCTTCTGCGGCTGCCTCTTCAGCTTTTGGTGCCTCGACAGCTGTCTCCTCAGTCTTGGGCGCCTCTGTAGCTGCCTCCTCAGCCTTTGGTGCCGCGGCTGTTTCGGTACTCTCCTCCGGTTTTGCCTCTGCGGCTGGCTCCGCTTTAGGGGCCTCAGCGGCCAGCTCCTCCGGTTTTGCTTCTTGGGCTGGAGTGGGGGGCGCCTCTGCAACCGGTTCTGCCTTTGGTGCCTCCACTGGTGTCTCCTGCGGCTTTGCCTCGGTGACGGGCTCGGGTGCTGGAACCTAGGTTGGCAAACCGCGTACGAGACACAAGAATGCCCTGAGCTCATACAGTGAAAAGCCACAGTGCGTCCCGTGATTGCGCATGAAGTCACACTTGGACAAACTGCTCCTTGAAGCTTAACGCAACCGTTGGCTGACGTGTCCATCCTTGCAACTACGTCGACTGAAGTCACATCAACTTGTTGCAGTTGGTGTGGTCATTCCACATTGAGCGCTCTGTATCAACAGGATTCAACAGAGTCCCTTGCGACCAACCAAAGGGGTTTAACACAGATCCCACCGCCAAAAAATACCTCACACGGGCGCTGGAAACAAACTACCTAAACACGCGCAAACACAGCGATGTGCGAGCGCTCTCGACTGCTAACAGTGTAACATATAAGAAAGACCGGTTTCCGCATGAGACGACGCTCGAATGCGTCCGAGCACAGCATGCATCACCCCGTGCAAAGGCGGAAAGGCTGCCTACTCCCCATATTAGACAACCAGTGGCGAAGGGTTTGCATATTGAGCTAGTTGCAAGCACTTTCAACTCGCCAAGTTAGTTTGAGCAAAACACTGTGTACGGCACGTTTGACTGTGAAGCCCCGAGCCTGATCGTGCCTTGCACATTAAAGCGTTCACATCAGAAATCACGATCTTGTGGGTTGGTCGCCGGGACAAGGTGTTCGCGAGGAAATCTTCTGCGACGCGTGCTCTACGGGAATTCTGAGATTTGCATGTTGGTGCACACATGATGCAGCAGCATTTAGCACTTCCTCCGGAACCTGTACCACATGTGCACGAACCAACGAGGTCAAGGAACTGCTTTTGGCGCCTCCTGCAAGGATATAGCACTGTCCGGCAGACACACGCCATGCAGGCTCACAGCAACTCTCGCGCCTGCGTCGCACACTCTGCAGCGCCGCCGGCGATGTAGCCATTCATGAACAGCCTAAGCCAGAAAGGATTCAGTGAAGAGCCGGAGCCAGAGAGGACTGCAGTGACGAGTCAATGCCATCACTGAAGCCTGACTATGCACACACCATGCGCCCTTCATTCCGTCGCAGTCGTCCTTGCAGGCCGCAAGTTTAAAAACGCGATTGCCAAGGAGCTTCGCCATGAACCGGTAAGGGTCGTCCGGCTTTTCTTTGATCACAGCCTGGAGTACCGCCTGTTGGATCAGGCAGCAATGCAGAGGAGCTTGTCGCGCTCCGTCTGGTGGCATGGACGTTTCCATCGAAAGCCCTGAACGACTGCAACTACGGCGGATGTGCCCCGCAGCCTGCACCACACGCAGAACATCGTGGTTGTCCAGGTACTCTTTGGCCTAGGCTCAGACGTGGAGGATTCGCAAGGCACTCTGGTCGTCTAGAGGCAACAGCACCGAGCTCTTGCTGCCCGGTCGCTCCCTTGGCACTGGCAGCGGGATCCTTTTCGGGGTGGTAACTAGGAAATCACAGCCACAGGGAACGACCCCAACTTCCGGTTGAGGTACGACGACCGAGACATGAGGGAACGAGACCATTGCTTCTCACGACAGAACAAGCAAGCGAGAGAGAGACAAGAGAGGGGTCAACACAGATGGAGGGAGGGAGAGGGAGAGAGCGAGAGCGACAGATGGAGGGAGGGAGGAGAGACAAGACAAGAAGACAGAGACCGGGACAGCGAGATAGAAAAAGATAAAGGGAGTGTGCATGGGAGTGAGTGAGTGAGCCCAGGAATGCTGCTTTCTGAAGCGTCCTGGTTTCGCTTCGACTCGTCCGAAGACTTGGCCGCTGCATCGCCGTCAGTCTGCGAGATTTGCTGGTTTGAGGGGCGTGTGAACCATGCATCTTGCGGCACTTGTTTCCTACATTGTCCTACATATCTCATTTTCAAACCCTCCAACCTTCTTGACTTCCAGCTCCACTTCCGCTTCAGAGTCACCTGCGAAGGGCGCTAAAGCAACCTCTGCAGGTTCGTACACACACAATTGCTAGTGCAAGTTTCCCTCAGGCTCGCACCAAAGGTCACTTTGTACCGTTGACACTCCTAAAGGCTTCGGCAGAGGGCGATATTTTGGAAGCTCTCTTCTGCAGCACTCTGACACCGCTGTTGTGGCTTGTGATCTGCCATCCGTGGCTTTCAAAGGATGGCACCTGCACCTCCAACACAGGCTACCTGCCTCCGGAAATAGAATAAAGGATGAGCACGTGCACACACAAGTGCAGGAGGCCCCCACTTCTGACGGAAAAACACTATCGAATCAAGCCGGCGCTTGAGGAACTGTTTAGTCGGGATGCCCCAGGCTTCGTCACCAAGTGCCCAGTACCCACCTGGCAAAGACTCGCCACCGCAAAGATTCGCAATTGACAGACACTGTGATAGCTTTGGGGGCTAACGAGAACAAGCAGCCTGTTGAAGGATGTCGACGCGAAGAGGATTTTCCTTTCGAAAGGAAATCCGACATGTCGGGGTCTGCACGCACTGCGTGCTCATGACAGAGCTTGAAGTGCCGTTCTTGATTTGGTCCTACACGAACAACTCGATCTACCTTGCTTCTAACCCTGCGTCAAAGTAGCCATGAACACCAATAAACGCATAAATTCATGTCATGAACCTCTTAGAAGACCCAAATGTCCTTCTTCCAAGACCTTGCCCGAGTGCCTTGGCCTATTCAAAACGAACTAATGACCAATAGCAGACTCCTTCATCAGCTCCACGGGAAACTTGAACCTCGGTGAGCCCATAAAATACACAGGTGAAAATACTGGGCCCGCGAGGCAGGCCCATCAAAACCCAATCAACGTGCATTATACAGGCCACACAAACACTGATTATGAGGGCAAACACGGGCACTCACACACACACACACACAGGCGAGCACACACACACACACACACACACACCCGCGCGCGCATGCACGCACGCGTTGTTCAAATGATTGTCCTACGCAAGCGGTCATTCCATTGCTCAACTGTCAAGGTTCGTTCAATGCTTCAACATCCTGTAACTTTCATGGGTCTCCTGACATGTTGAGAACGAGCGGTGATCATCCTGCAGCACATTTGGCTCCATGTCTTAAGAAAAAAACATGGTACGGATGCGCTCTGCCTCATTCGGGGTTTGGAACAGACTGCCGGAGTTTCTGTTCTCCCTGCATCCTTCGGAATCAGGCTACTCGTCCACATGTCCATATGTGTCGGAAAAACATCTCGTGCAGCGCGGCCTTGCCGCCGAACAGCCGCATTCCCGCCCTCTCCTGTCCCACACAATCCTCAACTGTAAATCCCGCTCCGCCCGAGAATACAAGAAACAATACTTTATTACATGACCCGCAAGGATGGTCCAATCTCTTTCTAGGAAGTGCACGGGAGACGCCCAGAGTCCAGCTGCGCCTGCCTTGACACACTGTGAGCAGATTCCAACAAGCCATTTGGAGGTTCATGGGTGCTCACCAATAGCTAGGCATTCGGTGGGGAAGGTCGGTACAGATACGTCATCAGCACATGACAACTCGAGCAACACCCACAAAACCCCCTTCTGCCGTGCCGGCCTCCGCATGCTTCCAGCTCGGATGGACAGGATCTTGGCAAGGGGGCTTTTACTGTAGTCGTCTGTTGGGGCAAGTGCAGGTGCTTCTGGAAACCATACAGGGAATCTGAGGGTGTGGACGGCATCGTCGGGGATTCCACTTTTGGAAAGCCTTAGGCTCTGCAAGGGTCAACTTCAGATTTCCCCGCCTTTCCTTCTCGGAGCAACGTTGCTTTGCCATTCCGTGGCTGAGGCTTCCGCAGATTCACTTCCATCGCTTCTCGACTCGAGCAGAATTTAGTTCAAGTGCCTGATCGCAAAAGGCGGAAAGGTCCAGGTGGCCGATACCCAGCCCGACCCACAGCGGAAGGTTGAGAGACGAGGCCCCCATTCTCAAACAATGCAGCGCAACATGACATGGGCACATGCTGTCGCTCATCTGCACATCACCCTTGCGGCTGTTGCACGTTCTTTCCTGATCCATTCCATGTGAGATGCGCAAGTTGTCAAAGACTCGCAGCGATGCACTGACACTGAGGCCCTGAAGGCAACTCTCCAAACACGTGATTTTGTATCTTGATAGGAATCGGAATGACCCAGGTGTCCGTGCATCCTCTGTTGTCGTGCTCCGTCCCCACCGCACGCTCCACGTAGCGGCACAGGGCCCGGCTCAGAACAGAAGCAATTTGGAAAAGAGACGAAGGGTATGAGCATGGGTCAAAATCCAGCTGCATCCCAAAATGAACTGAACAAACATGAACGGACCGCGATATACACTCCTAGTTTGTGATTTGTGCGAGTAATTACTTGATTTTGACCCACAGCCAACTGCCCTCAGGTGCACGTATGCAGCTTGGCTTCAACTTTCACGCAAGATCGAAGAACACTTCCTGCAACCCGTGTTTAAGGTAAACATCGGCTGTGTGGATTGGTAAGCGGCCCAAGTGGCCCAAACCCCCAAACATTTGATGCAGCAAGCCCCCATTCGTCCGAGAGAGAGATTGGATGGATTAAAGCTGTTTGTTGTAGATATATAGTCATCTAATTTAGAGGTCTTCTGCAGTGTGACCTGCCGAAGCATGCCGCGCTCTACACAGGCGATGCATTCAGCAGTGTCGCACAGAGTTTCTCTACTTCTCCCAAAGTAATGCCTAGTTCACTCAATGTTTTGCTGTCTTCTTGGCACGGCCGTCCATCGACCAGAATGCGGATTGCTTCTGCCGCGACGGCTACATGCAAACGGCTCTGGAAGACCATGCGTAGCAACTTCCTCAGCTTCGACAGGGTAGCACTGCTAGGGTCCAGCTTGAAGGAGGCGTAATCAGATTCCATCTGAGGTCCTAGTCCTTCCATCCTCACCAGGACGCAGCCGGCGCCCAAGGACTTCTGTCGCTGCGCCGCAGGACTTTGGTCATCGGCTCCCTCCAGGCGACCAATGAAATAGTCCACTGACTGAGCCTTGGCCTTGCGGCTATGGATGGCCTCCCATTCCTCTGTGCAGTCTGTGCCCAGGCAACGGCAAATCGCGAGGATGGTCGAGGTCTGCCCGGCAATGGACCAGCCGGGGTGGGTCTTCACGAACTCGGTGATGTCAAAGACACAACCACCCACTGCAATCCATCCGTCGTGATTCTGGTTGTGTTTGGCCACTTCTTCCATGGTGAAGAAGGGCGACTTATCATAGATCACAGGCGCCATGAGCACTCCGGCTGCTCTTCAGCTGGCTTAGCCCAAGCTTGAGCCGCAGTCATCGGTTGAAGGGCTGTTGTCCCGACTGCGAAACGGAGGAGGGTTATTCGGTGGAGCTGCGCCTGGTACATCCAGCAATCTTCCTAATGCCACGAATTGCGAAACGGGGTTGTAACTAAGAGGGAAATGTTCGCCTTAAACACACCAAGCATTGACAGGTCACTGCTGTGCCTGCTGTGTTCTGCAACGTGATGGGCAGCCCAACTTCACCTCGTAAAGTTGCAGTGAAGCTGCCCTGGACAGCCCCTGAAACCCACTCCCAAGGCGCCGGCTCGGCCAGAAGAAGGGCCGTGAGCTTACAGAACGAAAGACTCAGAGCCCAATTGGCACAAGCAGCGGCAAGTCCAGTTGCTCAAGCTTCAAAACTGCTGGAGAGTCCAGCTGCTGGAGGGGAGTAAGATGGAGAAAGAGGTAGGATGCGGTAGGTTGCATTCTCCAGTCCGTCTCTTTTCAGCCGCAAGGCCAGCGTCGCAACGGTCTCGCGCACGCCATCACTCGTCTTCCGGTGGTTCCACGAGCCACCTCAGACAAGCCGAACTGAGGCCGATAATGAATTCCGCATCAGTGCACAGATCAAGATCCCTGCCAGAACCCGCCTCCTCACAGGACCAGAAAGCTGCAGGGGGCTTAGAGGATGCTTGGTCCCTACAATCAATTGCATGTCCTTTGCCGATGTGCAGATCTGTGCTGAAGCGCTGGGCACATACAGCCATCACCTTAGACGACAGAACCCTCAGATCCGCACACGCCCGAAAGCGCGCGAAGCTCACCCGCCGCGGGGAGTCGGAATAGCTGACAATATACCCATGTCGATAGCTGACTTTGCTGCATGATTCCAGCACGTCAAAGTTAAGGGAGAAAGACAGACTTTGAACAGTCGTGCGGTTGCGTTTTTTGTCGTCTCTCGAACCCACTACTGCTTCACCTTTCGTACTGGTGGTGCTGCAGCCATCACTCTGGTGTTAGAATGAGATGGCTCAGAAGCACCACATGCACAACTCCAATGCCGAAAACCGGATGCAGCAGGCTTTTCACGGGGAAGCGCAACATCCGCAAGACGGCACAAGAACACACAACTTTGGTGCGTGGAGGCGATCTTTAGACTCTAGATCGCAGCGCCAGTGCGCAGCGCTTGTAGTCTGCCCACCCAGGCCCAGGTTTCAAACAACCACCGCCTCAGCTGAACAAGAGCTTCACTTGCAATGTAAGACATGAAAATATACACTGTCACTGAAACACTGCTTCTAAAAAGCGCTGTCAGGCCGGTTCGGCTGATCTCTGCTGTGCTCGGCTGAATCTAGCGTTGAACCCCTGAGCCTGGATTTCACAACCGTGGCGCTTGGTCAGGCTGTGGTGGCATTGAAAGCCAGAAACGCCTTTGTAGCTGCAGCTCCTTGTAACTCACAGCTCTGTGGTCCGGCAAGATGCACATGGAGTCACATGGAGCCTTTAGTGCGGCTAGTCCTTGGGGTTTCCGGCCATGAGGTTCACCGTTCCCTGACATTTTGCAGGCAACGCAAAGCTCGGTGATCTCGGAACTTACAACACAGCGCCTGGTCGAGGTTGAACAGCACTGTGGCCAGTGTCCAATCACTCAAGTCCCCGGTTGCGTGCGAGTGCTCGTCATGGAAAATGGGATACCTGGCTTTCCAAGTAAAGCAGCTCAACTGCCGAACAGACAGATTATTCACAAGCAACCCGAACTGAGACGTCTTCTGGAAATTAGAAGCTAGCGTGGCATGCAAAAACCCACCAACACCATGCGACCGCTTGGTCATTCTACGTCGCCCGTCCAATTGCATGAAGCTGCGAGCGGTCGTGCTGGTCTCCAAGAATTTTCAGTGCATCCTCAGGGCTGAACACAATGGTGGACGTGAATCCGGACTCTCTTCCTTGCTTCCTTCTTTCTCCATCTCGCAAGGCTGGGATCAATGCCCACTGGCGAGGGAAGAAAGCATTCCTTCCTCGAAGGAATGAGTCCAGTCTCCTGGACCCTTGCCTAGGCGCTCCCTGGACTCTCTTTCTTTTCGCCAGGGCGGCAGTCGGGAGTTGGGGTGCATGCAGCTCACGCGAAGTCACGGACGAGCGCAAGAAGGAAATGGCTACAGTCGGCACTCGTGTCTAGGGCTTGCTTGCTTGATTGCCGAAGGCCTACCCCCCATGGCTCGCGGCGGTCTGTATCTCTCTCTCTCTCTCTCGCTCTCTCTCTCGCTCACTCTCCCAAAGCTCCTGTGGCGTCTGCGGCGCTGGCAGCATGCGAAGCCGTGCCAAGCGATGCACGGAGCTATTCCCGACCACCCTCGGCACATGAAAGAACTGGGTGAGTTGGCGACGTAGGAGGCATACAGTAATTACCAGTTTCCGAACTTGGATTTCTCCATTGCTCGGGTGGTGCTCGTCTGGAACGCTGTCTGGGCTCTGATCGGGGACGGTCAGCGTCTGATACTGGTTGACATGGAAGAAAGCGCTTCCGACGGCCACTTCAGACACCTGTCCAAGCAGCAAGCCCATGCGCCGCTCCGATATCGCTTGCTTGATTCGTCATGTCTGACCAGCCTGGTCGTGAGCAACCTCGAAGTTCGCGATTCGACGGCTCTTGAAATCCATGAGTTGATAGTTGTGGCCTTCACATCTGAGCTATCTCTGGCGTGCTACAAAAGCAGCCCTTACAGATCAATGGTAAGAAAATTGACGGCCTGCTGCATGTCGCTGGGATATGATACGCTGAGCCTCGTCCCAACCTGCTTGCTGCATGTGGCCCGCTCCGTCGCGCAACAAGACACAAGAGAGACAGCACCAGCGCTTCTGCCTACATGCCTGCAACTAGGCCTCTGCAACCTTCCGCATGAACCTGTACTGTGTATCTGCAAGAATCACAAAGCACGGTGGCTTTACGTCGTGTCAGACTCAGTCTCCCGATTGCCTAAAGTCAAGAGATAACAACTGGCCTGTCGCTGTCAGCAGCTGCCTGCTAATGAAGTTGCGACCGAGGCCAGTAGGATCCTCGGATGAAGTATGATGAAATTCTGCGTGCATGCTCATGATCCTGATTGGTTCGGCTTTGTGTTGAGAACTTCTGTGTTAGCAGGCGCTTGATGCCGCTTTGCTGCATGCTGCGAAAACGGCACTGTTGAAATGTTTCAGGATCTTGCCGCCTTGCCGCTATCCATTAACGATTTGGGCTTCGGGAGCTTGCCGGGGCACCTCTGAATCCGAATGTCCGCAGCCGTTGAGGCTCGTTTGGACAAGGCGGTGCTTCGCTAGCAAACCCGCTTCCGCAAACGCTTCTGCATGCTTCTGCGCCCCACGGTGTGGATCCGCTTCTCGGATCGCAACACCCAGCAATGTCCAGCTTAAAGGTTTGGCAGGCCACACCAAACACAAACGCAGAATGCCGTTCAAGTATTGAGACGACATGATAAGGAGACCACGGACGGCCGACCTGCAGAGTGTAGCACCAGCGTCTGCCTTACCGACGAGCGCCCTTCGGTCCGATCCGGAATGCGGAAAACTATCTGGTAAGTTCCGGGCGCGAAAGGGACCGGAGCCAACAACGACAACAGCAGCAGCAGTGGTGACGAAAAGACAGAAGCAAGGCACGGAATGCCATCTGCAACTTAGCATCGCAGTCTCCCGGACCCACCCAATTCAGCGAGAATGCAATGCCCTGTTTGTTGAAGGCGAAGGCCGACCTGCAGACGAATGAGAAGTAGAAGTCAACTGCATTACGCCAGAGCACAGGCAAGCCAGGGGGCATTCCCCCAAGCAGATCACCGGCATAATTTAGGACAGTGAAGTTGCTCTTCCCGAAGGAGACGAAAGCAGCAAACAGCCACTTGTCCTGGGCAGCTACCCAAAACCCCCGGACCATGCAAGGCAGGTCACTATTCAGCTACTCTGGAAGCACGCATACTCATTCCAGCTTTCTGCAGGCACGCGACAGCCATATCACCGTCCTCGTTGTGCGCATCAAAACAATGCTGCGAGTTGCCTTTCAGCGGGCACAAACCGTTCCTTGCAATTGCACATGGCGACTGGCGCAGCAAGCAAAACGCGAGGCTGGACCACGCCACGGTAAGAATGCGCCGGCTGCGCCCACCCACTTCTCATCTAAGGTCTACAGGCTCAAATGCAGTCTTGCAGCAAAGCATAGAATCCTTGGTGCTTGGCAACCAACCCACTGAGACTGGCTGAAACCATGAAGACCAGCACGTACCCAAGCGATCCAAGCGGATGCAAAGTCTCCGTGCAGTGGTCGACTCGTCGGGGGGTGGCCGCCAAAGTGTCTTGGCAATATGCCAACTCCTCCTGCTAAGCTGCTCGGGTGCTTGTCGATTGAGCTCTCTTCAAAGAAACAACGTTTTTCTTTGCTTTCTCCTGGAGGCTCATGGCAATAAGCCGCTCGCTGGACACGTTGGCCCCAGTTGCAATGCCCCGCAGCTCCTCGAGAAGCTCTGGCACGTGCCTTGGAAAGCCGAGTAGCTTTCAGCAACCGTTGCTGCACACCTCACACAGCTGAGATGCTTCTCGTGGTTGGCCAGCAACTGCTGGAAAAGCTGTTGACACCTCGAAGTCACAATTTGCCACAACACACAACGTCGGGCCCCGGGTGTGGAGTCAGGTCCATCGCGCCTGCTACTGTTCAGAAGCTGGTCGATAGCCATTTCCTGAGACACATACCATCAACCAAGCGTGCATGGCTCCAGGTCCGGATGCGCATGTGCTCGGGTTACGTATGACTATAGTGACTATGGGATATATGATATATGATACATTGAGATATTGGGGGGGTTGAATCAATTTTTCGTGAATCTGACAAGTTGCGTGAGATGCAAGTCTTGCCCGAACCGCTGCCCTGTAGCCTTGGACAAGAGATGCAACCCACCCGTCTGTCACAGTAACATGAGAGGTCTCCGGCTGTCTACCACTTCTTTGTCACGATCTCTCAGGATTTCGGCACGGGGGCTGGAGCCCAGAGCCAGACCCAAGGAATGGTGATCCTGAAGTCGAGCAGAAGAGCTAAAACATCGCCTAGCAGTGGAAGCCTCTTTTCGAGCCTCGTCATCGCTCTGGAAGTGGAAGTCAGGCAGCAAGTTCGCTGTTTCCGAAGTGAGAATCTGGAGAAGGCCAAACAGCCCAGCCCATCGAAAATACCCAGGCACCATGGTTCAAGCAGCGTGCATGCGAAACCCGGGGTCAAGCAATGCTAGTCGGCATCCTGTTCGAGTCTTGTGCTGCAGGAAGCACTGAATGATCCTTTCCAACATAACTGGAGCACTGTCTGAGAGCCGATGCAGAGGCGAGGCAGAGCCGCAGACGCACGAGTTGTCTTTGTCGACTCAACATAAAGAACCAACTCTATGAGGGCGATGCAATCTCTGGGTGTGCAGGCGAAAAGCCAACGCCCAGCAGGACCTGGAAGAAAAGCCGATAGCCCCGTCTCCACGCTGCCGGGCTCTCTGGAAGGGTGCTCGAGCTGCCGAGCCGCTCCACCGGGCTTCACTTTGGACTCCCAGAGAGCCATCTGCTCCTGGTCGCTACTGTCGAATCAAACCCGGAAGGGTCGACGACCCCTAGGCTGCCTGCGCGTAGTCCGCGGAGCGCCCGCGGAAATCAACCATGGCCACGTCCATGGACCTGTCGGCCGGGGTTCGGCGGCACCATTCTGCTCGTGCTGCCCTCAGCACCACTTATCCAACCTGGATGGGAAGGCATCTGCTGCCCTCCTCGCTGGGTGGCTTCCCGTTGACACACAGGCAGGCGAACTGCAGTTGGGCTAAGTCTCTGTAAGGATGCGAGGTAAAGCACACCACGGTCTCCCAAGGATGTCTGGAGCTCGGCCTTGCACTGCAGGGAGGAGTCGTCTGGATTCGCTCGAAGACTGGAAAGGCAAGGGCTCGTCGTTGCTCGAAGATGAAAGCTCGACCTTCCACGGGCTGGGTTTACGATGCCAGGTTGCCTGGACACCACCGACACGCTTGCGGGACATGCGCATGCTGTGCAAAGGCTGCACACCGAAACCATCGCAAGCAGTATCCGGACAAATGCAGATAGGGACCGACCGAACACGAGAAAGCCACAGCAACTCTTTCCCAAGCTACACGGATGCAACGGGGAGCACATGAAGAAGAGAAGAAGGGACACAAAAAGAAAGGCTTTGTGCCAAGTCATCGTGGCCCGAACCTTCAATCTCAGAAGGATGGTCGGGCTCAGCCATGATCCCAGCCTTAGACTCAATCGTGCCGCTCAAAGCCTCGCGGATCCCCCGAGCGCGGAGCATATTGCACACCAGGAAAGTCTCTGAGAGCAGCAAGTGTGGACCAGTCCTGCAGGAATTCGGAATGGTATGGCGCGCACACATGTGGTCGGAGTTGCGCTTCAACAACCAGCCTCCAGAGGCACACCGATTTCTACGAGTGCCATATGGCTCTGGCCGTTCCGTACCATGGTGCCTGGGTCTGCGTGAGGGACAACTGATGCAACTTAGCGAATTTCCGTGACCGCATGGGCCTCGCCTACTATGGCGGCGGTCATGTCCTGAAAGGACATGTACCTGGAGCAGGTTGTCATCAGCCGTGCGAACTGCAAAGGAGACCTTAAGATTTTAAGGGCTTGGCTCTTCGTGTAGGATGAGGACAGGTGCGCCGCGGCCTGGAACGCGGAGGCCACGGACCTCGCTTGGAAAGACATGCGGTGAGGGATCTGCGACACAAAAATCAACGTCGGACTTTCCCGGGCATCCAGCCCATGCATGCATTCCTTAGCAGGGCTCCAAGGAGAATTCTCCCACCACAGCTTTGCTTTGCTTTCTCTTTCAGCCTTCTGGGTACACCTGGGCTAGATTCGGCTAGATGAATTGCCCAGCAATCTAAATCATCATAGCAAGCCCAATACACAACACCAGACAGAGACTGAGCCGGCATCCGAGATGCCAAGCCAGCATGCGTGCTCGCTGACCTCGATTCCAAACGACAACCAGCCGAAGAGCCAATAACGAGAGAGCGAGGGTGCCAGCGAGAGAGCCGAGAGAGCATCGTGGCTGAGCTCTGCAACCCACGGTTTGCGCCAGCCTTGCGGCAAGCTCCGTAGCTGCGAGGCCCGCGGAAAGGCTTGGCCTGGACACAGTCTGGAGACGATGAAACTTTGCTCCCTCCTTGCGTCCTTGCGTCACACCGTGGCCCGAGCAGCTGCCGCAAGAAAGCCTGCAAGTCCTTGCAATCCGGCCGGCGAATGGCGGTCCCTACACTTCCTGCTGTGACATCCACTGAGCTGAGCTGGTGGCCGATTTCACACTGTGCCCGACCTTCCCACAGTGCCATGCAGTGCAGCACAAGCAAAGCCATGCAAAGCCCAGAAACCCTGAGAGCAGACAAGGCCGTAGCCCGAAGAAGTGGCGATCGCACCCCGGTCTCGGGCAAGTATTCCTCACATGGCCCGGCGCTCCGTCTTATTTCGGTGAGCCTGTCTTTGTGATTCGTGCCGTCTGTGCCATACATCCCACGCTCCTTTGCAAGAGAACGCATGCGCTCGTCGAGTGCCTGGCCGATCGCCTGGACTGGTGAAGGTTGAAGAAACAGCTCCAATGTAGCAGGAAGCTCCGGCCTGGACCGACCTGAACTGTTCCATGACCTCTTCACACCGTGCATCCTGAGCCGAGATTTCTGGCAGTGTAGCCTGTGCTTTAGCGACCCACGCCCTGAGAACCTCGCTGAATGCTGGCACAAGGTCAAGTAGTCCAAAGTCGAACCGAGCACGGAGAGTCCTACCAAATCTTGGCCTCAACTTCTCACAGTGATGAAACCTCTCCTGCCTACATCTCGCAGCAACTGGAAAGTCGACAACTCCAACGAGGTCCTGTCAATCTAACGTGAAGTCGCAGGAAAAAAGCATCATCATAGCTTCACAGCCAAATATTACTTTCAGAGCACAGCGGCCCCGTCCCTTCCCATGCAAGTTAGCAAGGCGACAAGGCGAGTGCTGCAACGATTCGCTCCGTCAGTCCAGTTGACTTCTGTCACCCAGCCATGCTTGCGGATGCCCCGCCGGCCTTTGTCCCAAAGTGCTCGGGCCTGCCTGCAAGGCTCAGCAGTCTTTTATTCCAGAAATGCACAACCCGCAACACTGTCGGAAATGCACATCTCTTCCTTCTTGACTCACTTTCCATCTCACGAAACATGGCAGGATGGCGTGCTTCGTGAATGGCTCGGTACAAGATAAAAGTTGCAAGATAAAAGTTTCTTGGGCCTGGCCAGCTGTAATCGCATCAACATCTTCTGCTTGCTGTGGGCTCACCAGCAGCCAGTCATAGAGTGCCTTCGCGCTCTTGCCGCAAACTTCAATGCGTTCTCAAAACCCTGTCCGGCCATGAGGGAGCCTGGAACTCGGCCACGCCGCAGGCATGGATGCACTGCTGGAAGTTGCTTGCGCAGGGCAGCCTGTGGCAGGATGTGGGCGAACAGGTAAAGACATGTCTACGAGCCTTCCCTGCAACCCATGGTCTCAATGCAGCCAATTGGCTGGGCATGTGGCTGCGCGGAATTGAGTGTGGCAGTCTGCCCCACAACGCCTGGCGGGGCACCGAGGAAGGTGCCAACGGTGACCCCATGCCTTCGCCTGCTGTCACAAGCAGCGCTGCCACATGGCAAACCCTGGGCAACACCCCGCCCATGTGGTGCCAATGGCTGGCTACAAGGACTATGCTTCTAAAGGTGCTCAGATTGAAGCTGTTTCAGCCGTGTAGTACTGGCAGCAGGCAACCTGCCAGGTAGATGTGTGCTTGCGTGGCCCCTCCCATCCCTCGTGACTGCTTGAGGCAAACACTTCAGAATGCAGGGCTGGAGGGTAGAGGTTGCAAAAGCCAGGCACAACTCAGTTCTCAGTCTCAGTACCATGAGACAAGTAGAAGCTGGCCGCATGATCGGCAGGATAATTTGGCATGCGCACCTTGAGTCAGGAAACACTACGAGTAGCAGGGGTCGACCGAGGCTGTTGCAGCCTGCTGGCCTGAAGCCTTGAAATGTTTGCACACTAAAAGCACGGAGTGGCGGATCGATGCAATCAGCACGCGTCCCCCAGCCCCGTGCGAGTTCGACAAGCATTCTGCCTTCAGCTGATACGAGTATCTTTGGTCCTGTGCCCTGCATCTGCCGCGAGGAGTGCTATTTGGAAGGCAAAACACTCTCTATTCTGCTGATCGGAAATTGAAAACTCGGAAGGCTTGGCTGAGAAACCCTCTCGGCCTACTGTGTAGGCAAACCAAGCGTTGCCGAGCCGCTTGCGACTCGAGCTGTCTGTTTCAAAAAGGAATGTGACATCGGCACACCGGGCACTTGCACCTGCAGCACAGTGCAAGGGCAAGTGTTGCAGAAAGGTAGGAAACGTTCAGAAAAAACAAATCTCACCTCAAGCCAAGGGGCTTCCCTCTAGGAGGGCCTTCGTCGTTGGTGAAACATGCCTGAGCAAGTCGGGATGTCGTAGTCCCTGAGTTCGCTCACAAATTTCACGTCGTCTACAGCCTGAAACCTCATCGGCTGCAACTCGGATGCTCTGTCTCGAGCCGGCCATCTCGGGGAAGTGGTCTCCCCTGGTCAAGAGATCACAGCGTCAGTCTTGCCCATGCGTTCGATGCGCGTGGTGCTGCACGTCTACACTGCCACCCAGACTGGACAAGCAATGGGTGGACCACCAGAACAGCCGCAACTGCCTCAATGGTGTAAAGCCTGGGCAATCGCCAACGTCGCTTACGCTACTCGCCGAGCAGGATGCATCCGTAGCTTGGCAGGATGCCGACACTACACCAAGAAGAGATTATTAGCGTGCTCCTTGCACATTAGCTGGCTTCATAAGTACCTAGAGATTACTGGGCGGCTTCGCAGATAAAAGGAGACGTTTCCCCAAATCCAATTTATACATTATATAGCTCAACGCATGGAAAACATGACATTCATGCGTTTCTAAAGGCATGCTTCGCAGACCTCGGGTTTCGATGAGCTACTACAGTTCCCGTGGCCCACCCATCGTCGTTTTGCTGCAACAATCAAGGTCTCTTGTCACTCGAACATCTGCGGAAGCTGAGACGGGGAGACTGCTCACGCAGAAACTGCACATTTGTGCTAGATCCACCAATTATTCCCTTATCATGGGTCGTTGTAGCTGTTCGGCTCACAAGCAGGACCTTGTTTCTGGGAGCTCGCTTCGATGATCTTGCCGAACGACACGGAACAATGTGCCGCTCGTTTTGTAAATTTCCAGATAGGCATTGCAAGTATTGCAAGATGTTTCTGCACTGCGTGTGCGTGGACAAACGGAAGCAAATCTAGTCCAAGAATGAAATGAAACTCACCCGAAGCGTTGGTTACTCGGCGCGATCTCTTGTTGTATAATCGGATGCGATAGACAAGATCACGAGCCTTTTTCGACTTAGATGGAGGCCGCCAATCCAGTCCAGTTTTCGTGCCGTGAAGCTGATTCCACGAATTAGATGAAGCCTAATTGGCTTCAGGCTAAGACGTCTCTCAACAACGAAACAGCGGATGAGCAATGAGCACACGCTTCTCACGCGCGCATCACGCACTAGCTGAAACTGCGATCAGGAATTTTCCGCGTGCGTGCCCTTCAATCCTAGACCGAAACAATGGTTCTGCAAAGTGGCAATATGTAGGTGCTGCTCGCATGCTTGCGGCTGCTGCAGGACCTGGAGATCGAAACAATTGAAAAGCTTCAATGGCAATCGGCTGCACGACGAGGACCGTTCGAGTTTCTTGGGCGCCAAGGCGCTGCACGTGAGCGGCCTTGGCCTTCACAGTCCTGGCAAAGCTTTGCAGTCCGCCTGCGCTCGCCTCGAGTCCAAGAGTCCAAGCGCCCTTTCAGCATGCCTCCGGGGCGGAGTCGAGCGGCACCTGCCAGTTGGTGACCTTCCTGGCCGGTTGCAAAATGTTGCAGAGCAGCATGTGTCAGAAGTAGGCTGCCAAACACACTCGAATACTCGGCATTCGGACCTTGGCGACGATCCTTCGGAGCGGAAATTGCCTCGGCAGATCCGGATGCCCAACCGCATCAGAACAAAAAAGGCCACCAAAGAGGCAGCCTCGGCTTGAGGGTCTGGAAAGCGAGTTCGACGCCACCGGTCCACAAGCCTGGGACATGAAGTTTGCAGACATTTCGCATTCCCACATGTGAAGCCGAGCAAGCAACGAGCTCCATAGATGGATCGAGTGCCTTCGCGGCAATTGAAATCTGCAGAACTGGAACCCGATGAGATGCAGGATAAACCAACTTTGGTGCCTTGTCGTGCTCTGCATCAGACTCCATGACAGACTCAAGCTGACCGTTCGACAAGCAGTCCAGCATAACCTGTCGGTCTGTCGGTTGCTACAGGCACAGAGCCACAAGTATCAAGCCTAGTTCCAATGAGTCCGAGCACCCAAACCGAAATTCAGGATTGCGACGTATCAAAGCAGCCGAACGGGCACTGGTAGTACTTACATCAATTCCCGGCTTACATATTTGGAATGATGACACCCAGACACACACACACACACACACACGGTTTTTTGCCTCAGTCCCGCTCGGGGAGGAAGAACTCAAAGTGCTTTTGCCTTTGGGGGAAAGACCAGGTTGATACCTGCTGCATCATATTGCGACGCCGAGGGCCCAACTGGCCACCTTGGCAGGAGTCGGCAGTGAGGCATCGCTGCCAGTTCTGCTGCCATCTCTGCTGCCAGTCCGCTTCGAACCTGCCAACAACAAAGCTGAAGTAGTCTGGCTCCAATGTCACAACGACAAGTGGGAAGCGATAAACATTCTGAGTGGCATGCTAGCTGCTACTTTAAGAGCAGCACGTCCAGCAGTTGAACCTTCTGCCTCAGGGCCTCGCCTTTGCCATCTTCCAAACACAAGTGACCTGCCTGAGGACAGGATGCGACCCATAATGCCTGGCCACTGTGGCTTCTTACCATTCTCCGGCGAGCTCAGGACCTCAACGCAGAATGCAAGAGCAGTGTTGAGCTGCTCTTCTGCCGCAACTCTACCAGCCGATGGTCCCTCATGGTACTTCCACCTTCGGCGTATCAAGCTGATTTTCATACGAGCAGATGTCAAAGAGAGCGGAACGGACGAAAACACAAGGTCGTTGATCTAAATTGATCCATCAAGGAATGACCTTCTTCACGACAAAAGCAACTTTCGCGCCACCTTTGCGAAACTTTCGCGAAAGCATATACACATGCCTTTACAAGCTAGAACCCTGATTCCTTCAGAAAGTCTTTTAAGGGTTCCTTTAAGGGTTCTTTCAAGGCTTGCTTGAGGGTTCGCCATGTGTGTGTATGTATGTATGTCTGCACAAAGCTATGACAACAAGCTTCCCACGAATAGACATGAATCGACTTACCGACCGTGCATTGGCTGCATTGGGCTGCAAAGCGGCATCCTGAACACGCTTCTGATACTCGGTGAGCGACACCTGCAGGGAACGGCCCGAACGGTTGGCCCGTTTTGGCTGTCGAATCCCTCTGCAGTCCGAGCCTGGCTGCTCGACTTCTTGGCGATGAAGGAGCCGCGCCGGAGCTGAACCAGGCTGCGGCGACCACGCTTAATATCAGCACCTGACGGGATGGTGCACAAACCTACAGCAGCAGAAAAGCTGCGAAAGCTGCTAACATGCCCAGCCTTGCTCAACTTCCGTGGCCAAGTTTTTCCAGAGAGTCTCAAAAGCTGGCATAACGCGCTCCCTCTCCATGTCAAGCAAGCATTCCTCGGCCGGGAATATCACGCGATAGCAATCGCCCACCAGACATCACTCAGAGTGCCACCCTGCAAGTTTGAATTGTGCGGACTGGCTTTTTGAACTTTGAACTCTGCTGCTTCCCTTCGCACTCCCTAGTAGCCCTAGTAATTACAACACACTTGGAGCCGGCAGCCTGCACATACTAGAACTAGAAGCATCAAGTTGCCAAGATGCAAGAGAAGCTGAGGTATAAGCAAGGCTTAATGTATGCGCCGCGCGTCATGATCCTGAACATGTTGTCCGGACAGGCATGGCAGCTGTGCCGAGATCGGGTCCAAGAGCAGCAAGAGGCGGTTGTTCATGTCATGCTGCATGTCATGAACCTTGCAATAGGCGCTTTGCTTGAAGCAGACTGCTGATGAACCACAGCATGGGAGAAAAACTTGGAGCCAGCCATGCAAGATGCTGTCTTGCAGGCCGGCTTATTTGTGTCACGACTCTTTGTAATCGCACACATCTCTTGGTCACGTACATCCAGGTCATTGGCGTCTGCACCAAACGGGTTTTCAAGCCTGCGGGATACGAACCGACAGTTCAGTTCACTTGCATCCTCTATTCCACATTCCTAAGACTTGTGGCACAGGCTTTCAACTGCGAACTTGTTCTGCCCAAGCTGCTCAATTGCTATGGAGTGCAGGCTCCACAAAATGAACACAGTGATGAAGGTGATGACGCCTCACGAGAACGCGCAAAGGGCTCCGAAAAGCTGGGCAGCCAGGACGTGCCGAGGCGCAGGAGATCGCCGGAGTTTGGGTCCCAAGCACCATGACAAAGGGTGTCACGATCCAGTGGATAACCAGTAACATCAGCGTGGCTTGGGAATACGGAAAAGGTACTGCGATCCGCGCGATCTTCAGGCAGTCATGGAATTTGACCATACCACTCGCTAACTCGCTGTATGCCCGCGTAAGAATAGGTGATGGCGCCGACATAATCCCACAATCGATGCTGCAGACAACTATGGACTGGATCCAATGGAAGACGAGTTCGACCTTGCATTCAGCTTTCTTCAATGCCTTCAGCGATTTCACATCAATACCCGTGCCGTCGATGAGGCCTGCAGAGTAGACACAAAGGTCGCATGCATGTGAGGCATTGCAGCAGAATGATCGGTCACTTAGTTTTGATCAAGTTCAACCTAGCAACGCAGGCGGTAGGCCCATCTGTCATCATCTTCGTCATCGTCGTCCTCGAGCTCGGCCAGGCTGAGCGCGTGCAACATGCCTGGAGGCAGGCACAAAGAACACACATGTTGCAAGGACCTTCGGATGGTCCCGATTCATACTCCGAGGTACTGAACAGGCGCACCACTATCTGTCGGAACTCCCAAAGTTTCCTGGGTCGGACACGATGACAACAAGTGGTCTTGTGAAGGACCTCCCGCTTGCTGTACCAAGCGTCTTGGCATCGGCTTTGGAAGTCCTGGTGATGCATCCCGGAATGGCGCAGACAAGTCAACGACCCCTCGTAGAACCCGACCAGGGAGGACCCACCGGGTAGGTCGAGACTTTTGTATTTCCAACCGGCTATAAAATACTCTGCTGGCCAGGCCACGTAGTTCGCACTTGTTGCTACTCCACTATTCTTGCAAGACGGTTTTTGTTTGCCTCCCGCCTCGCTAGGACGAACCTACAATGCAAGACGGCTTCAGACAAGAAAGGTCTAGTAGCAAACCTCACTTCGGCTGAAGACCCTAAAGCTCTCTCTGCTGTGGAAAAAGGTCACGGTTTTGACGGGCAGATCGGGGCAAGGTCCGGTTCCAAGGAGTTCCAGGGCGGGTTCCGGCCAATTCCGGGGCGAGTTGCGGGGCAGGCTGCAAGAGGACCAAAGGGTCCGGGCAGGTTCTGAGGTGGGTTCTGGGTGGTCCATGCACCCGAAACTGCAGCCACCCATAAACTAGTCAAATTCAGTTCCCGGAGCTTCCCAAGGCCTGCCCAAACGCATTCGGCGCTAAATTGAGCTCTGGACGCTCCCGACCTAACCCCAAGGTCTGCTCACTGCTGAGTGCCTTCGGCCCTAGATTCAACAAACCTGGTGTTCCTAGCCGTGCCTACACCCGAAATGCTTCAATTTGGTTCCAACATGCCCCAACCAAAGCCAAAGATGCATTTTTGAAGGCTTGAAAATGCATCTAGAATCTCCAGCTGTTTCAGCATTGCTGGTATCCCTGGCCGCACTCCCGAGGGTCAAATTGAGCTCCCGAAGCTGCCGACCAGCAAATCTGGTGTTCAACCTGGTGTTCAACGCCGTCCCTACACCCGAAGATGCTTCAGTTCCCGGAGTTCCGACCAAGCCGAAATGCATTGTGCAAGGCCGCCTTTGGCATTCGGCAAAATGTTTCAACAAATCTGCAATGCTGTCCTTACACCGGAATGTTTCAATTTAGTTTCCAGGGTCCCAGCTTCGCCGGCGTCCTGCACCCACTGGCGAGGCTCAAATTGAGCTCTCGAAGCCCTCTACCATTCCTAGATGGATTTCCGGCCCTAGTTACCTAGTTTCAACAGATCTTGTGTTCAACCTGGTGTTTCATGCCCTCCCTGTACCCGAAAATGCAATCGCGCAAATAAACTCCTCAAATCCAGTTGCCGGTTTCCAAGGCCAGGTAAATGCCTCGGCCCTAGTTTCGACAACACTGCTGAACAAATTTGTCCTGATTCAGCAACAACCCATAAACTTCTCAAGTTGAGTTCGCAACCCAAGTGCTTTTTGCAAAGGCCTGTTGAACGCAGTCGGCCCCGGTTTCAGCTTCAATGCCGGTCGGGCATGGACAGCCCATCTACAGCTGTGTCAGGTTTGCTGGTGCCATATAATGTGAACCCAACGACGGCCATTCCTCCGCTGCGGGTGCTTCGCGGGATTATTAGAGTCAGCTGCCGTTCTTGGCTTGCTTCAAAGCCAAGGTAGAGGCAGGGACCCAGCAGAGAGAAACTGTACCGTGACCACTGCGGCATTGCAAAGAGAGGGCACTTGAGAGCTTCGGGCTGCCTTTTCCGATTCCTCCCGGAATCGCAAAGGGTGAGGCAGAGGGTAGTCAAGAAGGTTCGCGAGCATCAAGCACAGTTGCAAACTCTTGCATTTTTACACTGGCAGAGATGTTCGAAGCGGCGGTTTCTGCTCAGGGTCTGCTTCCAAACACCGACCCGAATGCAGGCGAGCCTGGTGAACGAGATGATGCTGCTAGCTGCATCGAACCAGTCGCCACGCATCCTCGGTCATCTGCTGCTTCGTGTTGCAACGGCTCAAGCAACCGACTTGCACTTCTCTACCTGCCAAAGGAACCACTCGAACAGCCCAGCATCTGATGTGTCAGAGTGCTACCATCCCAGAATCCTTGGATTGAGATCCGCCGGTCTAGAGAGGTACCCATAGTGGCAGTTTGTCGCCCACACCCTGCTGCTCTAAGCCTAAACCCGGAGCCCAGCATCTGTCGTAGGCTTGCCCAGTCCGAAAAACGACCAGTATCCTGGCACAGTCTCGCCCAAGCCATATGCACTCGTCTTGTACACTGTGCAGCGGGCTCTTTAGATCTCTTTGGCCTCTGAACTGTCTCTGACGCTCTAATGCAAAAGAAGCCTAGAGCCCGGGGGTCTTGATTCGTCATGCACCACATCGCAGGCACATGTACTAAGTCCATCATACTGGCGCTTCAGTGTTTCGGCGTGAGAAAACGCTTAACAGCTCGATACATCGCAGATCATAGCCCCCGAGACATGAATCAGCTAGCACAGCAACTTGCAGCAAAGCTACCCAAGAAGAGTTGAGAATGCATTGTAGACCGTGGCATCCATCTCCGTATGCGACAGAATATCAGTAAGGACTGGCCATTCGTGAACTTCTCCATATTTGAAGAGGAAGGCCACCTGAGGTTTGCAACGAAATAACATCCGAAGCTGCTGATACCGAAATCGAAAGATCGTGCTAAGCGTGTTGGTCTTGGGTCTGGCAAGGCACCAGCGCGCAAGGCAAAGCTACCTTGGTGGCGAAAGGGAAGACGCTGCCGTTGAGGTGGAAGAGCGCAGACAGGCTGACACCTCAAAGGGGGCACCGACATGCGGTGACATGCGGTTTGCATTACTTGGGGCTCTTGAACACCTCGATCGGCCAAGGGGCGACTTTTCAGCCGCGAGAAAGACAGCACCATCGCAACTGTTGAACATGGCACTCTAGCAAAAACCACTGCAAGTCCCAAAAGCACCGCACAATGGCAAGTCGAACTACAAAGCAGCATCGATCGTGGCAGGTGCCAAAGTGCTGCTACATTGCCTGGGTGGCGCTGGGTAGGGAACACATGAGCAAGGAACAATGACTCAGCAGGTGAACGAGAAACATAAGCCAGACGGCGGATGGCATCACCGGTTCAGTCATGATGACTTGCACGCATCCCACATGGCCAACGATCCCAGGTGCCACTTTAGCTTGCAAGCTAGTCGACTCTGTTGGAGCCGACCAGAAGCCGTGCTGTCTCACTTGGTCCAAGCGAAGGGTGCCACAGCTGTCCGTCCCGAAGCAGCGACAAAAGGGAGTAGGGTGTCTTAGCTGTTTGACGAAAGCAGAGCGGGGCTTGGTCGGAGCTCAAGTCCAGCAAGGGGCAGAATCCAGGCATGTCTCACAAGTCCCTCACGGCCAAACATTGAAGAGTCCACAACTTGAGCTTGCTGTCTTTTGGAACTCTGCGACGCCTTGAAGCGCACGGATCGCAGACCCAAGTGTCATACACAACACAACAGCTCGAAGCAAACAGTAGCGATTGGTTCGTGGCCGCGCGTGTTCTGCAACTCAAAGCCATTGTAGTTCGAACTCAAAGGAAGTCTGTAGGACAATAGCACGGTGGTAGTTGCTGTTACCTGCAGGTGTCTGCTTTGTCAGCAGATAAATGTAGTTAGTTACTACCGGCATGAACCGCACGACCCTATGCATGCGTCAGGCGCTGTCACCGACTACGTGCAAAGCATCAGGCGGAATTAATGAGCTGAAGAGACTTATGAGCATCTCTGTTCATGTCGAGTTCAGCCTGCTGCTTGTGCAACAAATGCTTTACAGCTTGCAATCGCTTGCAAAGGCTGGTGGACTCGTCTTGGAAGGCTAACATAATATCATCACGATACGGTTCTTACATTCTATCTCTGATGCCAGCCTCCTTGTCCACTCCGTGGCTTCTAGCCATTATTCCAGCCCTTCGCACAGCTCTGCGGCAGCATGCGGCCACTTTGAAAGGACGCCACAGGCGGCGCAGACTGTAATGCTGCTCAGCAGCAGTATGCTGCGCCAAGAACTGGTGGCAGCCCGCCCGTGTTACAGGCACGACATGGCACGACAATGCGAATTCTGTCTTGCTTTAGACTCGCTGAGGAATCACATGCCGACGGCTTTTCTTGCAAAGCTCAGTGGCTTAGATGCTTAGGGAGTGCGACCTTTCGAAAACCCATACATTCAACCGAAGGCATGATATCCCCGACTGCCCAGCATCGAACAGCCTGTACGTTGCCGCTCTGCCTAGGCACACGACAAAGGAGCAAGCCCCAGAACAATCTACCCAACCTACTTTGCCGCACCTATCGCGAATCACAAGCTCCCGTACACCACCCGACATGTTCCAGCAGGAAAACAGACGTGTGTACCTCGTACTGCAGCAGCTTAAGCAGGCGGACCTAGCTGTCACTTGCCGGCTTCTCGGGCAGGTCAGTTGCCTCGGGGTTCGTCACCTGCCCGGTGGTGGGGGAAGTGCCGGCTGCCAATGATAAGACTGCCCGAAGCTCCAACTGGTCTGCTAGCCGTAATTTGCCTAATCACCAGGTCCGGGCCTCCTCGTTACTGCCCTGCGAGCGCCACTGGGCCCTTTCCTTGCCTCAAAACGGGTCTCAACATGCCAAGGTGAGTCTGAGTTACTTCAACAACTCAAGCCGCTTAGGCTAAGCATGGCCATGGGGCTCGGAGGCGTCATCGGGGGTAGCTCGAAGTCGTGCCGCCAAGACCTGGCAAGCACAGGTCAAGAAGACCTCCGACTTTGAGGCCACCTGCGGCCAATCGAGGACGGAGGCACTGGTCAGCAAGAATGTTCGCCAGCCGAGTGCTGCCACCCACTGGCACCTGCGACGTCTTCTTGCCTGCAGCACTATTCACGCATGTTGTGTTATGGCCTAGCAACGGCAAGCACAGGACGAAAGCAGGCCGGGCATGACCAGCGCTGACACTGAGAGGTTGGCTTGTCGAGCGTCTTGTGAGGCTGTCAAGTGCCAGCTTCGCAGCTTTCGCACTCATCTGCGGCTGGAAGAGGCCCTTATCCTGGGCACGTATGGCCACAAGCAGATTGACCACCAAGCACGCCGTCAAGAATCGCACGCTCTACTTCAGGATTTTCGACACCCACGAGTTCTGCACACGTTACATGCACTCTGGTAGAAATTACTTGCAGTCGGGGATAGCAGTCATCAGCAGCATCTTACAGGAGACTTGCAGCGACTGACTGGCCGCAGTTCGTCGCGTGATTCGAAAAGTCGATCGCAGTGCCAGGAAGACTTACAGAGTATGGTGCCTTGGCGCAACTCACTCCGAGCAGCCACATCTGGATCTCCACCCGCCGTTCCCATGCAGCTCATCCAGGTCTCGGAAGGTGCAATGTCACCTCGCAGCGGGTAAGTTAGCGTAAGACGCATGTCGGACTTGACTTGTGGTTGACAGCCGAGAGTCCCAGATCCTGCGTGGTCTTCACGTAAGCGTGGCAGCGGCCTCCAAACAAGGAAAGCTTCAGTCCGTCTCCTATCAGAACCTGTCTTGCGACAGGTTCCTAGTTCGTGCCCTCTTCCCTTTCCGAGCCTAGCTCTCTGCTGTTGAACCAGTTGTAGGATCCGATACGCCAGGCACCGTTGTGGTACCACATGCACTCGAGGCCCGCATCTCCTTGTAATGCAAAGCTTGAAAGAGCCGTCGCTCCACAGACCGGGCCCCGACGCTCACACCGGTAATTACGGGTGGTTGGCAAGTTGTTCAACCTGTTTTGGCATCGTCGCATCACCACTCCCTTTGTAAGGCAGGCGAACGCAGAATCACGGTCCGCGCCACGTTTCACATCACCGGCGTAGATTCGTAAATCGGACCGGCAAAGCAACTGCAAACGAGGAGGTGCTCAACGAAAACAACACCCTAGGTATAGGAGATCCCCGCACGCCCACGCACACACACACACACACACACACACGCGCACGCACACATACATACATGAATTGACACACATCATGTCCTTATGTCTTCTGTCATGTCGCTTGTTGACGCCGGAGACGCCCCACAAATCTAGCAACCTCCTTATCAATCCATTTCGGCTACCCTTGCGCAGTTGGGTTGCATGTTCTATTTGTTCTATTGCTTCTACTGTTTCGTGGAGCGATAATCCATCCCAGTGCTTCCAATAGCATGGCAGGTGGATGCAGGAAGGCTGCACAGTATGCAGAGGCATGCATCCGTTTACCGTCGTACCCTTCTGCAGGGTTGCAACGCTCTTTCCGTGGACAGCGTCTTAGCGGTTGCGCACAAGTGACGAAAATGCGGGAACACAGGAAATAGGGGATCTGCCCTACGGTACAACTGCCGACTTACTTTGCAGCTGAACATCGCAAGCACTTAAGAGTACAATACGGCACGTACAAGTCATGATATCTATGCTTTGCAGCTGTTCGCCTCGGCCCAGAAGCCGGTAGAGCCATGCGTTCAGCACGCAGATCACACCTAATCTCACGATGCATCCAGAGCGACCCTGGCTCTGGCTGTAAACCTGCTTGCCGTTCACGGTGTTCCCGTCGGGCACGAACGTGCCGTTCAAGCCTCGGGGGGCATCGTAAGACAATCTCGATGCCGAAGCAAACTTTCGACAAGAACTATCCTTGAAGGGCAAGACAAGATCGTACTCAGATTGTCCCAGTATGTCCCACCTCACTGTGCCGTCACTGTTATTTATTTGGGAACCACAGCTCACGATCTGCATCCGTGTTTTCGGAAACCCACCCTGGCTGAATCAATGAATCATACAAGTCAGCACCCGAGACCTAAGTCCGTGAAACTCTAAAGGCGCCCTTCAAAAACTGCCTCCGGCGCACTGCACAGCAGTGCAACAATCAAACCAGGATGCTAGCACTGCCGCCAGTGAATCCACTCCTGAGAAACAGCAGAAAGTCCTACATGACGCAGACGCACGCCCTTGTCCACGCACGGCCACTCTACGAGTCCTTGTTGCAAGCATCTAGATTCTCGGCCCTCAAACCCACAAACCCAAGAGACTGCGGGGTCCTGAACAGGAGGTGCGGGACCCTGTTTGGAGGTTCCTTAGAGCCTTAGGGTGCTTCAAGAATGCAGACAAGGTGTCAGCTGCACAGAATCATCAGGCTCCGGCAGCGCCTCGGAGCAGCAGGTGACACGAATAACAAATCGCCTCTTCTAGCTGCCTCAAGCTGCTTGATGCGTGTCGAGGAGGCTATTTGCACACCCATATATGCTCAGGCGTCTGGCGTTCCCAGCCCCCCCCCCCCCAATGGTATGGTCTGATAGGGGTGGGGGGGGGGGGGCCTGGCGTGTGCGGAAAGGGGTTGGGGGCTGTTGATGGTGGGGTGGTGCTGGCGGCCAGGGCTCACGCGCAAGCCCTTCGCAAACAAGCCGTAAACCCTATAACGCAGCGCGTGCCCCCGTTTTGAGCAACCTTAGCTTGTACTTAAAACGCTGCACCCAACCTAAACCCCACCTAACTGCAGGCTCTAAGCCTAAAGCAGAGCATACACCGCAAATCCTCCCTAAGCCCTTGTCGACTCGAAGCTGTATACCTTATAACCGTAAACCCAAAACTCAAAAGCTTAAGCTAAACCCTCAACCCCAAAACCCCACAACCACCCCACAGGGGGAAGAGGAACCCCACACCCCACACCACAGGGGAGGGGGGGGCCCCACCCTATATCCGGACCATTGACCTTTGGGGGGGGAGGGGGGGGGGGCTGCGGAGCGCGTGACCATATATGTCCCCATTCGGGTGTTGGACAGGTCGGGGCACTGGACTCGGAAAACATGCGAGCATGTAGCACAAGCAGAAAAACAGGAAGGAAGAAGTGAAGGGGTCAACAGGAGGGCGAGTGGGGTCAAGTCGGAAAAGAACTGGTAAAGTTTGCGAGTTACATCGATCGATTTAGGAAGCCTACTGCACCCTATGTTTTAGGATTTGGACCTGCTCCAACACCCTAATTCAACAACGACTACCTTCCATTAACCAAAAGCCTCAAACCCTAACCCCACCACTCTCTCCACGGAGGGTGGCGTCTGACCCGGGGTCAACGCCTATACTGCAGCGACACTCAATACAGTACAGGGCAGACTATCCATCGCCAGCTTTGACAGATCGAAGACCGACACGTTTACATCAAGTTCTGTGTACCACCGAGCAATAGAATCCCGGTCTGAAACCCATCCCGGCAATCTCCGGTGATGGCTTTCAGGATCTAGGCTTCGTGATCGTGATGACACACAGCCCGTTGGCTGGGCTGCCGAGCATCATCCGACGTCTCCGGCTGCTTCTCTTCCTTCTCAATGTTCTCTTCCTTGGCAGGCCTCGGGCGACTTCAGCATTCTCACCTCATATACACATACACACACATATACATATATACATATACACATGTATACATATATGCACATGTATACGTATATATGTATATATATGTATATGTATATATATATATATATACACATATATACATATATACAGATATACATATTCACATATATATATGCACATATATACATATATACATATATACATATATATACATATATACATATATACATATATACATATATACATATATACATATATACATATATACATATATACATATATACATATATACATATATATATATATATACATATATTCATATATACATATATACATATATACATATATACATATATACATATATACATATATACATATATACATATATACATATATACATATATACATAAAGATACATATATACATATATATATATATATATATATATATATATATCTGTATATATATATATATACAAATGTTATAGATATATATATATATATATATGCAAGGATTCATCCGACTTGAGCAGAAGATAGGATAGACTGGAATCAGGATGAAAACATTGGGAATTCGCATTGATTGAGGAGGATTGGTGAATTTTTGTCGCGACAACTGCATCGGATCATCTTCGTGAGATGTGCGTATCGCAGGGAACTGCATCGGATGAACTTCGTCAGATTTGTGGGTATCATCGGAGCTGGAATCAGGATGAAAACATTGGGAAGTTTTATTGAGGGCACAACTTGAGAAGAGGGCTAGGGGAGAGGAAGCGTAGCTGCGAGCAATTGGGGCTGAGTGAGGCGGGGGACACATGTGACATGAGAGTACTGTCGAACACTGCGAAGGACCAAAAAGAACTGGAGCCAAGACGCAGCGCAAACGACAAACTTCAAACACAAGCAAACTCAGGGACCTTGTGGAAGGAGGGGGGGGGGGACCTGTGGGTAGGGGGGGGGGAGCCCCCCCCCCACCTTGTCCCACGCGCCGCAACCTTAAAGGTGGGGGGGGGAGGCGGGGGGAAACCACACCTTGTCTCTTCAAAATGCTTCATGAGCGAGGTGAGGGGGGGGGCGGCCCCTCCTCCCCCCCACCCCCCCACCTTAACTCTTGGACGTCCCACCTGATAAGGTGTAAGCCCTGGTTTTGCCCTAGTGCCTTAATACAAGGTAGACCAAGTGAAAATTGCTAAAGGGCAACTCCCGCGAGCTCAACAGAGCTAGCTTTCGTGACTGTGCACAGGAGGCTTTGGCCCACGCTCACGCAGCACGGACGTTACAGTATTAACCCCCCCACCCCACCCCCCCGCCCCAAGACAAGTCCGAATCCTCACAAATGCACGAAAACGCACGACAGTGAACGATCCGTTAGCAAACATATGTATATACATATATACATATATGCATATGCATATGTACATCATATGCATATATGCATATATGCATACATACATACATGCATACATATACATATATACACGTATACATATGTGCATATACACATATACACATGTACATATTTTTTACATATATACATATCTACCTATATGCATACATGCGTAGAAACATATACATATACATATACATATACCTATACCTATACATATGCATATACATACATACATATGCATGTTATATTACATCATTTTGCATTGTGTGACATTATACTGCATTATATTACAGTATATCACATTAAATTACAATACCTTATAGCATACATTATAACTACACTATGACTAATATTCTACTTCCTCACATTATTTCAGATTTTAGTATATTGTATTGTATTATAGTATGTTATCTTGTACTATATGGTAGTATACTAAACTCTCTCTCTTCTTCCACCTGCCCGCACGAATGCATGCACTGATCTGAACTCTCTCTCTCTCTCTGTCTTTCTTTCGTTCATCAGGGCTGTTGTGAGAGGAGTTGCCCCCTCCCACCGCGCGCTAGTTCGCCCCAGCCTCGCTCTCTCTCTCTGTGCTGGAAGTAAGCCCCCGGCTCGCTGATGTTCTGTGTCTCCAGTGCTGGAGCAGAGGCTCGCTTGGGAAGCCTGCCGCGAGACGCGAAGCTATTTGGAGCTCTTTTCGCAGTCTTGACAGGTCTGTGTAGGCTCGAGATCTTGCCTGGGCTGGCCGGGCCTGGCTCCGTCTTTTGTTTTCGCCTTAACGGCGAATCGAAGTGATCCCAACGTCGCACAGGCTGTAGCGAGGACTGGGTCCCACACGCTGCTGGAAATCGAACATCTCTCTCTTGGAGCTGCAAAACTGTTCGTGCGCCTCTTTTTAAAGCCAAGCAATGGTTGAACTTATTGGACCACGGCACAACTTGCACCTCATATCTCTTCGCTCGCGGCCCTTGCTTTTGAAGAGATTGCTGGCGGATGCCTTCGTCTGTACCGACAGTGCTACAAGACTTTGGGGACATGCTTCAGAGCGACAAAGTTGCCATGCCCTATCAGCCACAGAGCTACCTCAGACACTTCCAGGCTTTCAGGGTTGCAGATGTTGCGGGATTCCCACCCAACATCTCGTTGCCCACACAAAACTGTTGTTTCAGATGCTGAGAGGCTTCGAGCTTGACCATTGTTTCGTGCCCTCATGCTCTCGCCCTCGCACGGTTTCTCAATAAATCTTCGTGCGCATCGGGACCTAGTACGGCTTCCCTCCATCCAACCCACATTACTATTCCGGTCTGGAAACCAAAGTTGCGGGATTTTGGTGGCTTCTCTTTCGGGGACACGTTGGCCAGAGTTCTCTGTCACGTGCTCCCAGCAGCATCTAGTCGCGACAAGGACCCTCACAGCAGCACTCCCAACAATATCGCCCTTTACACTCTTACACAGCTGGGTTCCCAACCCAACATCTCGTTTCACAGACTAGGACTTCCCATCCACTCTTCAACACCTCCTTCGTCCCAACATAAACATTCATGCGCAAGAGGCAGACGACTGCTCTTGTTGGGGCTCTTGCTTTTTGTACATGCGTCGTCTCCCAGCAGGTCAAATCCCACCCACCAGCAAGCGCTTTCTCTCTTGCGCTCTGTATGCTGCGGCCGCAATGGAAGTTTGCATACTCAGAATGCATGCGACCGCTGTTTATCCAAGGAATTCGTCGGCTTGACCCTTTGGCTCCTGAACTACTTGTCTGATCCCAGGGGTTTCGTTCTCCACCATGTGTTGCTGAACCGCATGTTTCGGGAAGGTCTGGCCTGCAGAGATGTCGATGATCGCATCTGCTGTGTTTCCTCGTAAGTGCCAGAGTGGGTTCCATGAAAAGTCGTCAGAGCATTTAAGCAGTTGTCTTCAAACTTCCTGGGGTTCCCACCGCAGGCGGAGCCTGCCAAGACCGGGGGAGACATGGAGACTGGGCCCGTGGGACATGGGCCAGCCTGGCTGATTTTTCGATGCCGCCATCGGACCAGAGAGCCTTGCAGCATGATGTCGCCCTGCCACAGGGCTTAAAGGCATCTCATGGGTAGCAATTGAATGCACAGTAGTTTACCGCTTGCACCTGGAACAAAAGCATGTCCTTATTGTACCTCGGCCAGCTTGTTCAAGCCATCTTCCCTTGCCTAGTAGTCTTGCCGTCGCACTTTGAACTTGGAAGACGAGTCGCAAATTGCGGCTGACCACTGCAGCTCGCGGTGAAACGGTTGTGGTGTGCTCTCTCGTTCTTCGCCTAAAGCTGTTCCGTACTGCTGAAGCTCTATCAACATATGCTAGCCTGAGGCGGCATAGGTATCCTTTTGTTACTTGTTTCTTCATCAGCTGCTTTAAGGCCTCAGCTGCCCACAGCCCCGCCCCAAGAAGAGAGCCCCCGGTCTTGTGCCCAAGGCATTGGTCATTGAGCCGATACAGCACGAACAACTTGACCTCGCAACAACTTCAACCCCGAAGACCAGCTTCCCGTGGTGTCAGTCGTCCTACTCTAGCACCACGGCTTCGGAGTTCTCTGCCAGAAGCTGAATGAAAGTCCGAAAGCAACATTTTTGGGTCCAAGACGAGGGGCGCAGGCAGAGCTCAGCTGTGGGAATGCTGGGAGTCTTTCAGCACTGCGTCGCTCTTACAAAGGCTGTGCTCCGCACGCGGCACACAGCCCGCAGCTCACTGGACACCGACTCGCCTCGTCACTTGGAGCGCTCCTCGCCGACATGACCGGCCCAGTGGATTGACACGCTAGGCAAGGCTGATTCGGGCTTCTTTTTCGGATGATCGCAGCATAGCCAGGTGACTTCGTGAGAATTTCTCAACGGTCCTTTTCTTGAGAGGCAGTCCAAAGGGAGATGCTGTCTTCATCTGGCCTGGCCTTTTCTTCGTCAGTGTCTCCCTTGACAAGCCAGCTCAAGAAGCTTGCCTTGTCGAATTGGATTGCACTGGTCATTGGTATGTTCGTTAGCTCGGGTCATAACTCAACACTGCGTGCCCAGAACTGCATGCAGTGGCTTGCAGCCTTCTACCTTGATGCCCGGTGGCACTCTACCACAGAACTGTCATGGAAAGTCACAAGTCGATGTGAATAATATAGATCAGTGAAACAAATTGTTATGCACCTGAAGCTCTCGCCTTTCACCTGAACGGAATGTTCCCACTGCCTCGGCTCATCGGAAGCCCCGCCACAGGCTCCATCATGGCAACACCTGATGTCTGCACTCGGATGGGGGACGGCGTTCGCGAGCTCGCAATGGAAGCGGGACCACGAATAGTGGAAGGCACTGTGCAGCTTTGTGGCCACACCTGTGCGCTTCCGAGGGTGGGTCCAGAAAAGGTCATGGAGCCGGGCTGAGAAACATAGCCTGTCACGCCTGCTGGCACGGAGCCCTGCTTCTCATTCACGGCGGAGGTTTCGACCTCGACCACACGTTCGATGTAGTTCATTGCTACCTTTGGAATTTCTTTTATGACTTCCTGGTACATGGGTGCCAGCTCCTCACGTACAACTTCGACAAGATTAGCCTGCGGAAGTTCGACTGCCTGCTCCTCGACAAGGACTTGTGGCACGTGCACCACACGCTCCTGCACTTCTGTCGTGAGCTTTGGCACGACACGCTCCCGTGGCTCAAACTTTGGTCGTAGCTTTTGGGTCACGATTTCCACCGCTGCCACCTCCTCAACCTCGACCGGCTTTTCGTGAACCAAATGAATGGGCACCTCCACATGTTTCGTCTCGGATTGCAGCTGCACCTTGGGGAACTCCCTCGGGGCGTCTTGCCACTGTACCTTTGCAACTTGGCGTATCTGTTCTACTGCCGTGACCTGCATCACCTCCACCGGCTGCTCGTGCTGAAGGTGAACTGGTACCTCCTCCACCCTCTCATAGTAGCGAAGGTCCTTCTTGGGGATACGCTTATCCACGTACTGCACGATTGTCTTGGGCACTTTACGCACAACCTCTCGGATTTCCACCTCTGGCACTTCGACAATCCTCTCCTGGTAGATAACCTGAGGGACTTCGACAACCCGTTCTCGGTATTCGAAGACAGGCTTGGCAACTTTCTTTTCCACGTACTGCACCTCCACCTTTGGGACCTGGCGCACGACTTCGCGCAGCTGCACTTTGGGAACCTCGATGATGTTCTCTTGGACCTCGATATGGGGGACATCCTCGAAACGCTCCGTTATCTGGACTTGCGGCCGCTCCACCGTCCGCTCCACCTGCTGCACCTCCACCTGACATGCGGACACCAGTGGCGCACACGTGCATTGCAAAAGGTTTCGAAGTTCGTCCTACATTTGATGCAAGCGGGTCGTGCCTTGGCTACTTGTTTCACCAGCTCAATCCGAGTAGGCACGGGAACCTCCGTGATCTCTTCGTGCACCAATGTTTGCGGGACTTCCACGGCTCGCTCTCTGAACTGATACACTGGCTTTGCATAGGGCTTGTTGACCCTTTGCTCCACGATGCGGGCAACCTGTTTGACACATTCAAGAACCTGTACCTGAGGCACCTCTACGGCCACTTCCTTTTGCAGCACGGTCGGCACCTCTTGCACCATCTCTCTACCCTCCACGATCGGCAAAGGCACTTCCCTGACGACCTCCTGATATTCAGGAACTGGCACTTGCCGCAGTGTTTCGATTATATGTGTCTGCGGTACTTCGATCACCTTTTCTTGAGTGATGCGAGTGACGACCTCCTGGACCTGCTCGGACACCTCATATTCGGGGACCTCTATGGGCTTCTCCACCGTCTTGTACTCGGGCTTCTGCTTCACAATGGTGTGATGCTCGACAATTTCGCGAGGCAGATCCCTCATGAGCCCCTGCAAACTGACAGATGGCACTGCGGCCACCTCCAAGGAGGGAGCGCAAGCGGAGGGAGCCCCTGCCGCGACGGCACTCTGAGCCCGGTTTGGGGGCAGCGTCACCGGCTCTGTCAACTGAAGGTCCATGGCTCTGCCAGGCACCAGGCTCCGGCCCGCCCGGGCGCGGCTCGGCTACGTCCGGCGGAACTCAACTTGGGCCATGGCTGACATGATCAGGACTAAGACCGGGCACGGGCACTCAGATCTTCAAGCGCACCTGAGCACTGCATTTGCATCCACCTGCTTCAATTTCTGCCGCGATGCATCGAGCTGTTGCCGCACCTCGGGCATGTGCTGCATGTGGGGGCTGGCTCCCTAGAAAACTCAAGGTGCGAGCATGTGCGAGCTACACTCCACACATGAGACGACTACAACTGCATGCAGCATGGCCGCACCTCGTGCGCGGCGTGCTTCGCACGAAGCACTGCCTCTTTAACAATGCTGGTGCCGGATACTAGAGTCAAAGTTTTTGAAAGCTTTTTACATTCAGGGATGCGGTTTAGCCCTGTTCGGACTCTGCCCGCTGTCAAGGAAACCCAGATTAGGGTCCGTGGGAACTTTGGAGGCATACTCTGTGGTCGGGAAGCCCTAAAAAAATGGCCAGAATGCTACTTAAATTTCTGACGTCTCGGATGCATTCGCACATGACCATTCATACTAGCCCTCGTCTTTCGCTGTGTAAAAGCAGATGGACCGTTTGCATTGCGTGAAAATGTTAAATTGACTTGACAGCACGATGAAGGCAACTTTCAAATATGCGTTGTTTGGATGTTTTGAGTGCCCGTTGAGTTTTCCAGATCTTTTCACAGGGCGGCATAGAAGGGCTCACTTTAGTGATAGTTTGTCTTTCTTGAGTGAAAGGTGGGATGCCCCACCGTCCTGGAAAGCGAGTTCTTGGCATGTTATCCGTGGAAGGTCTGCCGTCTGTGTGCTTTCGTGGCCAGAGATGCGCTGAGTTGCGGACAAGTTCGTCTTGATTTCGAAGAGGTACGTCACGTGCTTTGTTTCATTTTCTGCCTTTTGAAAAGTTTGTCATTGCAGACATGAAGATGGGTCCGTTGCAAGCAGGCGTTGCAAGTTGCATGGTTTCTTGGTTTTCATGTCACTTGTTTGGCGCTGTTTGGTTTTTCAACAGAGATTGTGCTCTTCAGCAGGCAGCTGATTTTGTAGAACATATTGCACTGGTGTAGGTTACGGCGAGGGCGGGGGTTATGATGCGCCTGCACTCAGCATGTGCCTGATGGGGCAACGTGCCGAGGGGGCATTTGACATGACCATTCATACTAGCCCCCGTCTTTCGCTGCGTAAAAAAACGAAGGACTGTTTGCATTGCGTAAAAATGCTAAATTGACAATTGACAGCACGATGAAGGTAACGTTCAAATATGCGTTGTTTGGATGTTTTGAGTGCCCGTTGCGCTTCTCTGGTTTATTCAAGAAGGGGGGAGAAAAGCCCACGCCGTGACGACTTGTCAACTAAGAAACAAGTTCAGCTCGGGCCCGAACCCTGCGCTCACAACTGCCCTGTAGGTTCGTGCTGTGTTTCCTGTTGGCGGGCAAGTAGGTATTCTTGTTTGACCTGCCTTGAAGACATGTGTGTTGGCTGGCAGTGAGGCTGCCAGGTAGAGCCTTACGTCACGTTCAAACAAAATCAAGTGGAGGAGCTGTATCACTTTCCATGCAATGCGCGTAGTATGGGCGTAGTGCCTCGACTCTTGTAAGCAGTCGCGGAGCGTTTGGCGTGCGACCTGCGGTGCTTTCTGTCCGGTGGTCAGTGGTCACAGGTGATGTGAATCGGTAAGTTATCGTGCTTAATACGAGAGTCCTATATCAGCAACCGGTCGATGCCTGGCAGATTCGCATGATCACATGTGAAGACCATTCTGCGCAGGAGGCAGACTGTCAGACTGTCTGCGCATTGCGAGGGTCCAGGCGTTGTTAAAAGTGGCCGAAATTCAAGCGACCGTTCGGACCTGTGCCTCGCACATCGGAGAACTCTGACCAGGGCTTTAGTCCGAATGTTACTGCAAGGGTGCAGGCCTATTTGTCCTAGTTCCTTGGGTCATGCAATCCAGATTCCCTGGGCTGTTGTGGCTGTTGCTACGTTGACTGCCTTGGAAGCCGAAGAAATGTACTTGTATCACCCTTCTAAACCTTCAGACCCTTCGCTTGGCGCAACATGGACCGGTGCTTGCATGCAATAGATTCAATCAAGCCCCAGCATCCCAAGCCCAAGCTCCTCCTTCCTTAACCTTTGTTCGGCTGCACTCACATCCAGAACGTTCTGGCCCGCCATGGCTGATGTCCGTGCAGATGCCGCCAGCACAGACCCTACTTGGTGGGATCCGGTAGTTCTTTGTGTCATTTACAAAATGCATTCCTCGCTGCCACTTTTGTAGCGGACACTGTGCCATGATACCTCAATGTCAGCTAACCAGCTAACTCGTCTCCCACACTTCAGTGCGTTGCCTGTGTACAAACACTGCACAGTCTCCAAAAGTAGGAGGGCGCATCATGAAACCGGTGCTATCTATGCTTCAGACCAGGCCGGCCGAGTGTTTGGCGAAGAGCGCTGCCAGCGCTGTGATTGGGTGCCACACAGTTTCATGGGAGTTTCGTGGTTGGCATGATAGAGGGGTATTGCGCATGGTGTGCCGGGCATAGCTGGGAACCTCGGTTTTGCCACAAGACTCGACGTGATTTCATAATTGCTGCAATGACTTATTGCCATGCTGTTTTAGAAGGGCGTGCCAAATGCAACTCAAGCCTACGAGTTGTGTGGGTCGGCCTAGCTTTCGCAGCCGCAGTATTGTGTGTCAGACGACATGAATGGACAGATATGAACAACAGTTCACAAAGAGGGCTTGTACTAAGCAGCCTTCCAAATCCACCCAAGTCTGCGAAGCGGAGGAATCTTTGCGCGAGGACTCTCCCGGCTCCGTAGGCAGCGCCCTGGGCGCCATTTTACGAATGTTGAGGCTGAAGCGTTGAGGCTTGAGTGATCAAGTTGTGCACGTGGGCGACGCAATGCGACATCCCGCCTTTGTTTGGAATGTTCGCTGCAGCCCTCGTCTTGATGTTGTATCTTACCTTATGCATGTGCTCGCATGGCCTCGCGTGTCTCACAACAGCAAGGATTTTCAGCATTTATTGCAAATGCTTTGCATATGATTTGCCACGCGTTCTTCGGATGGGCAAGCCATGGCAAGCGTTTTCTTCATCTGAACCCGGTTGGAGCATGTGGCAGGCCACGAGTCCCAAGCCTTGAGCGCGTGCAAAAGGTATGCGGCTGTGAAAAGGGAGGGCGAGCAGTTGTCAGCACTCTGGAAGAAGACCCCCGGAAGGAACTGTTGTCGGTGGCGAAGGCTGGAGTTTGAGGGATCGTTTGAGGGCAGCCACCCCACTTTGGAATTTTGTTTGACGCCGGCACGGGCTCAGGTATATTTTCATATGCTTGGCATGAAGCAGGTGGAATGACGGGTGTACACGATTGCACAGTGGTGTGCCCAATCCAGTCCCAACATCGTCAAAATCTCAGCTTGGGCGAGTTGAGCGTCCTTGGGATCTAGAATCTAGATGGATCTAGGCTCCAACAGTTTTTGGATGTCTCCGGTCGGCTAGTACTTTGGAATCAAGAACCGGGCTCGTTGGGTTGTAGTAGGTATGTAGAAGGTCAGTGGTGGCTTGCAGCAGGCATGCCTAGCTCCAGGCACTCATGTCCCTCGACACGGGTTGCCCCATCACGCACATGCCGAGAATAGGTGCATCATAACTCATAACCCCGCGCCCCCTCCGTAACCTACACCGGTGCAATATGCTCGACAAAATCAGCTGCCTGCTAAAGAGCACAATCCCTGTTGAAAAACCAAACAGCGCCAAACAAGTGACATGAAAACCAAGAAACCATGCAACTTGCAACGCCTGCTTGCAACGGACCCATCTTCATGTCTGCAATGACAAACTTTTCAAAAAGCAGAAAATTAAAAAAACACAAAGCACGTGACGTACCTCTTCGAAACCAAGACAAACTTCCCAAAACATGTCCGCAACTCAGCGCATCTCTGGCCACGAAAGCACACAGACGGCAGACCTTCTACGGATAACATGCCAAGAACTCGTTTTTCAGGACGGTGGGGCATCCCACCTTTCATTCAGGGAAGACAAACTATCACTAAAGTGAGCCCTTCTATATCCTTCTATGCCGCCCTGTGAAAAGATCTGGAAAACTCAACGGGCACTCAGAACATCCAAACAACGCTTATTTGAACGCTACCTTCATCATGCTGTCAATTGTCAGTTTAACGTTTTCACGCAATGCAAACGGTCCTTCTGCTTTTACACAGCAGAAAGACGGGGGCTAGTATCAATGGTCATGTACAAATGCCCGGCTCCACGACACCAGTTGCCCCATCAGGCACATGCTGAGTGCAAGCGCATCATGCTTGGGATGCATGTTGGATTATCCCCAGCGGCTTTGAAGCTTCGTCTGAAAATTAAGCGGCCTCCAAAACTAGGCACATGGTAAAGAAGGTTTTGCGGGGAATAGGAATAGGACAAGTTGGCTAGCCGAAGGCCACGATCTTGGTCAAAAATTTCTTGGCCTTAGCCAAGGCTCGAAAGGACGCGTATGCTTGGATGTACCAGATTGATATTCAGTAACAGATCGCCATCCAAGGAACCACGGCTCTGGACGGGTTTCCGGCGGAACGGTACACTCAAAGCTGGTGAAGAAGATACGTCTTCTTTCAACGGCACCAAAAGTGCCGCCCGCAATGATGTGGCAGCAAGTTTCTGAAATCCGCAATATTTGCTGCAAGACGTTTTTATGTACGGGCTGAATGGACCCCGCACTTTCTAGGATGACGTAGGCGCAATCCAGAAAACCTTCACCATAAGTCTGTATGGCAAGTAGAAGAGCGTAAATGATCAAGACTTGTCGGGACTTTGGGCTGTGAATCCTAGAATGCCTTGGGATTGTCCCGAACCTGTGACGTCGTGGCATGGCGAACCAGCTACTATGACAATGGCCGCCTTTTCGGGGTCTCGATTGCCAAGAAGATATGAGATCTGCGAGAGTATGAGGGCATCATTCTTTCATAGGTCCCCTCCCGCTGTCCTGAGCCCGCCATGGGCATCAGCAGGCTTTAGGGCCAAATGCGAGCTGACACCGTCGGCGGTAGATAACCAAGCGGAAAATGGGTTTGAATCGCTGCCCTACTCAAGAGGTCAAAAACGCGTGAATTTTTTGGGCAACATCGGCCGGAGCGTGCAGAATGTTCACGCATCGTTGGCGTGATTGGTCCAGGGTGAAACCACGCAAGCCTCCATAGTTGCAGGGGCTACTCTAGAATGCAATACCGTCTGCAGCAGTGCCAGCCTGTGTGCCATCTCTTTAGCAAGCATCTCAGATGCAAACGTTGCAGCATTACGGGCTAGAGGGTGGATTGAACAAACAATACTGCATTACCAACACACAATCGACTGCTTTCAGCTCGAAGCGCCGGGTGCAGCATGTGGCCTTCAGCTGATGTTTGCTGCTTGGGAGAACACACACATCAGTGTCTCTCGCGAGGACGATCAGAATTATCGCTGCCTGCAGGGGTTAAGACAAGACAGTGACGCAACAATAGATCGCTATGTCCCATTTCTTCGCCCTGTCTGACACACTCTCACAGAGTAGATCCGCACGAGCCCAGACTCCCACCACTGCCGCAGTTTCGTGAGTCAGGCGGGCATGAAAACTGCCCACGCAGTTCACAAGCGACTAGAATAGACCAACAGGATAGGTCGTCTTCGCTACAGTCAAGGGAGAAACGAAAACCCTGTCTCTCCGCACGTGTCAGCACGTGTCCGCACCCATAATGTCTCTGTCTCACGCTCCCTCCTATGGCGCACAGGCAGGGAGTGCTGTGACCCTCATCTGTCCGCGATGTCTCGCCCACCAATTGTCGGTATAATTGGACGAGCGGTGTAAGAAGTCCAACAACTCCAACACCTTCGAGGCAAAGAACTCGGCTTCAACGAGGCAAAGACCGAACTGCCCAAAACAAACGCAACAAAGATCCAGCTAGCATCGGACCTGGGGAGACCTAAAGATCGATGGAGCTGAAACTACCCTGCAACGTTTAGCCGGACAGAACAGCAGGCCAAAGAATGCTCTACTAGTAAGACTCCAAGAGGTTTCGAGCGCCCTCCCGACTTGCAGCAACGCAGTTCTGCAGGGCTGTAAACAGGTACCCGCAGATAGTTTCACAGTGTCACAGAAGCGGAGGCCTCTGGGTTAGGATGTCGGTGCGCTCTCATATCTGCCACCAGGCCGATGCCTGTGCCAGAGCTTCCAGCTTCCAAACGCAGCACTGCGGCGCTGTCCCTTCAGCGCCTCGAACGTGTTGCCAACGCCGTGACGGCCGAAATGGCGACCAGCGCCGCAATTCCGGCGAGCATCAGCATGGGCCAAGCTGTTTGTCCCGAAACGTCTGCCGACTGTCCTGAGGTGACACGACTGTCTAGAGTCTAGAGCCGCACTTCCCTAGGCCCAGAGGGATAAAATGGATAGAAATCACGTTCTAAAGGGCGAGCCACGCAAAGACCATTTCTGCTCGGATTTCTCCGGACATCCCAGCTTCTCGTGATTGCAGCACCACTCCTGCTTGGCTGGAAACCACACCTGCACGGCATACCCATAGTGGAATAACGGATTGGGTGGGTCTGACCGAAAACAGTGCGTCCCAAGCTGAAGTGAAGTCATGTAGCCATCTGCCACATGTCCAGGCCCTCGTGACAATTGAACGGCTTGCCAGCAACCGCTTTCTCGTGGTGCTCGTGCTGGTGAGTGGTCGGAGTCGGCGTCGTGGTCTGTACCTCAGCTCATGAAGCTCACCTGCAATCAATTCACTTGCATGGAGCATGTGCTTCTTCGCTGAAGTAGTAGCTTTTCGGCGACAGTGTCCGGCCCCAGAGGCCAAGATGAACACCAACATGAACAACAAGGCGGACCTCTTTTCAGCACTTGGGGCCGTGGCATTTGCAGCGCCGAGACAGGCCTGACCTGCACAGCAAGACTCTGTTCTGAAGCCTTTTAAGTATAAGTAGTGCAGTCAAGCCGCTGACGCTGCACATGTCGCACAGACCCTGGCACTCGCGCAGTACGAGCTCGTGCGCAAGTTGGCACGCAGATACCTCGCCTGAAAGTCTCAAGCAAGCCATGACAACATGATTTTTATACGACGGCAGGGCATGTGTGGCAGCACCGGGAGGGATGGAAGGAGCTGACAGCTTCAGCTTTAATGGCTGCTGCCAAGCAGCCGAGAAACGTGTGCACAGAAGCGAAATGAATTCGCTCCTCACAGGTCACCTGGACGGGCTGTTGTGCAAATCTCGCGCTTTTCAGGTTTCACTTATAGGAGAGCAGCAAACCACCTTGACGTTTTGCAGTGTGCAGTACTTCTTGCAGCCAGGGAATGTCGTGGTCATGGTTTCCGTCCTCCAGAGAAGTGAGATCGAGAACCGGACCATAACCTCTCAGGCCTCAAGTAGGCAAGTTGCACCTGAGAGATTAGTGTTCATCCGTGTCCTCGTAGTGGTTTCTGTGATGGTGGTAGGTGGGCAGCCGCGATTCGTTTTTTGGCAACACCAGATCCTTTGCAGAATCGCAACCCCTCCAAGACTCCTACACCCTCATCAGCTTCAATCGAAGCGCACAAATCCGGACAAGCAAGCTGGAGAAGGAAGCATCTCTCCGCACAGAGATAGCACTCCCTGTGAGCTGTGCAGGGCCAAGGGGCTTCTTGCCCTCCGACCAGCCGTGCACCCAGTTCATGTAGCCCGACTCGCAATCAAACCTGTGTCTGCAGCCAGAGCCACAAAGGCAGCAGACTGTCAGGCTGAACTCCCAAACTCTGCACTGAGCACGTAGCGCGTTGTCAGGGCAACCCAGGCCAAATTTTGCACAGCAGTGGGCTTGTTTCCTGGGCGACAGAAGATGCAAGCGAAGTTTCTGTCTCGCGGCATGAATCTCTTAAGCTAGATGGTGAATCGAGCTTTAGAAGACTTCTCGACTAGCTTGTGAACTCAACCTGCTGCACGATGGCACTTTCAGTTCCATCCTGCCATGCAGTCATACACAACATAAACTAAATGAACAAGAAGACGTCGGAAGGACAAACTGCGAACATGTTCAGCTTGGCATCTCAATGTCCCAGTACATCCTCACCTGGTATGGGCGATGGGTTTACAGCAAAGTGGCCTACAGGGCCTACAAAGCGACACAGAGGTCGAAAAGTGCAGCTGAAGCTTAGCATGGTGCATCTTCGAGGCCCTCGTTGCAGTCGTAGCGCGTGTCCCCATCTTCGACCACTGCCTAAAATCCGAGGTCAGAAGTCGCTTCAGGCAAACTTCGCCATGGCCGGGGGGGAGCCTCTGTCATGTCAAGCCGTCGCGCTTGATCTGCTTCTGCTTCTGGGATCCGGCATCCCAAGCCCAAGCCATGCACCAGGCAGCACCAAACCTGACCAAAAGACTGCCACGCCCGCACTCTCGGCTCAGTTCAGGACACCTTCTCCTCTTCGAGAACGACACCGGCTTGACAGGACTCCTCGGAAATCTCTGCAGCCTCGGGATCGATTGCGAAGCCAGGAACTTGCGTGAATTGGCAGCCTTCCGTACGGAGTCGTCAAACCTGACAAGCGGCCGTATGAACCAGCAGCAGCACCCAGAGCCAAATCTGGTGCATGGCCTGGGGCTTGGCAGGATGCGTGCGGCAAGCAATGACGGACCCGTTCGCGACAACAGCAACGAGGACCAAATGTGTTTTGGACTGGCCTCGAATGTCTACGAGGTCAGGAACTCCGTGCCTCCAGGTGTGCAGCTCGATGCGCCCCCGACTGCCCTAACCCCTGCTTGAGCACCCAGGGCTGCCGTGATTTTTGGTAGCTCATGCGCCTCATATCATTGAAGCAGGTTCTTCTGTTAAGTTCATGCAATCAACACATCCGCATGCCGGCTTTTGCCGCGCTCGCAGACAAGCATGCCTTTCGGGAATGCACCTAGGCCTGACTAACCCCGTCAGCCAAGTGGCACCGACGGCATATATGCAAGACCTACCAGGCCTGAACCGGAGCAATGTGCAACATTCATTGCACTGCATACTTTCAGACGCAGAACTCGTGGTGGTGGACTACAAGATCTGACACTTCTCCTCTTACTGTCAGAACATGGCATAAAACAGCATAGCTCGTCAAAGTACGATGAAACGAGAAGACCGACAAATCCATGTCGTAAAGCCTCGCAAGCTCCCATAGCTTGTTGACCGCGTGCATGTGTGAGCTCGGCCGGAAGCAGAGCTCAGATAAGTTGCTCGCAAACAGAAAGTGAAGCCGGGATACCGATGGACCCTCCTGCCGGCAGTCGGGCTCTTAATTCTTCAAAACTTTGTTGAGACATTCAAAGAGGGCTCTTGTGCCTCTAGGTTAAGACCTGCTGAAAACATCGCACTGTACATGATGAGGCGAGGTCAGCACCAAGGAGAGCTGCAGACGCTCACGTGGGCGCAGAAGGCAAAGGATTGTTGCACTCGTCAGACGAAGTAACCGGACAATCCTAAGCTTTCACTTGGCAGAGCAATCTTTCCGCCAGAGAGTATCCATTCAGCTCATTGATGACAACTGCCCGCCTGTAGAAGTGGATGCTGGAAAAGCGATGGGAGTTGCGGAGTAATCTGCGCGGCAGCTGCAATCACTTCCGCGGGCGTGTCGCCCATCCTCGAACCAGGCAGCATTTGTACCAGAACATGATCTTGAGCCGTGCAAGGCGCCCAATGACAAACCTGTGCAAGATCTAAGTTCCAGAATGTTTCACTTCCACCTTCGAGACTTACTGCTGTGCTTACACCAACATCTTGCCCAGACTGAGGTGCTTTAGCATCAGCGGATGGCCAGCCAGTCCTCGCATGAGCGCAGCGCAAATAAGGCGGCAGTTGATGTGCGGCATACAGGCTTCTCCGTGTGAACCCCTCGATGGCCCAACAGGTAATGCTTTAGCGCGCGATGAACTGGAGCACGAGACCAGAAACTTGCCACCACACTTGAGACTGCGCGTCGTTAGCTCTTTAGCCGATACTGTACATACTCGGCAGCTTAGCGAGTGACAGCGAGCGTTCCCCATCAAATTTTTGGGCCAGGGCTCGCTGTAAGAACTCCCGGCGGCGCCCGGCCAGGGCCAACGGCAATTCGCCCGTCGTCCCGCCTGAGCTGCAGAAGCAATTGCACGCTGCGGCGCTGCCAGCTTCTGCTTGTGACATATGGCCTCTTCATGTACAAGACTCGCAAGCGGAAACTCGACCCGCGCTGCGTCCAAGTCTACAGTACGTTGGGATCTATGTAGCCTGAACATCCCAGTTGCGGACGGATGGTCCATCAAGATCCCGTGGGTACAACGGACGGTGGGAGCGCCGTGCGAGCAGCAAGCAGGCGTCCTGGTGCACAGCAAGAAAACCGTAGAACGACAGGAGCCCGTAGGCCAGGAGTTGAAAGGCTAGGAAGCCTCAAAACTAGTGCCCACGAGATGGAAAGATAAACATTCTACCAAAATTGCAGATCTCGTGTCGTCCCAGCTCGGGAGGCTTTCGGCTAAAGGCCCGCTAGAGAAGGAACATAACTGTTGTGACCGCTGCCTTCAAAGTCTGAAAGATTAAACTGATTAAGCCTCGCTGCAACGTCTCCGCGACCCCGACCAAGACAGTGTGCAAAGGACAGGTGACAGGCCCTCACAAGGGAAAAAATCCCCCCTAGCAATCGAAACTCGCGTATACTCTTAAACTTTTTTTGTCACTCGTAAACTTAACCGCCTGTGACAGGTGCTCTTTCCACGAGATTCAACAATTGAACAAACCTCGAAATGCATAAACCTGGGCGTGCATGTATGAGTATAGCCGATGTCCTGTACACATTGTTTGTTTCTGTGTGTGTATTGCAATGCATATCTCTTTCTATATCTACGTCTGTGTCTATGTGTACCTATGTATGCACCTATGTATCCATGTACCCATGTGTCTATGTAACTATCTAGCTAGCTAGCGAGCCATGTTAGTGAGTGTTAGGCAATATGATATGATATCATGGGGGTACTATAAAACATGATATAAGATTATGCAATGTAAATACAAAAATACGGTATAATATGAAATACTAATATATTACAATACAACATGAAACAATACAGTACTACGGTATACACTGCAATATTCTATCATACGAAGCGATACAACATATTAGTACAATAAAATGGAAAACAATAGAATAGAATATCCATATCTATATCCAGATTTGAAGCAAAAATTACATGAACACTAAACGTAGGGAGTTTGCGACCGTTAGCGATTTATACAAGTACGGAGAGTACACTCTGAATCCATCACTCCCGACTGGCATGAAAACACTGGGGCCTGTAGTGTGTCATTTTCTGCATTATATATCTATATCTATATCTATATCTATATCTGTATCTATACACATGTGTGTGTGGGGATTGCTTGTCGTGTTGCTGCTATTACTGCAAGATTAACGACCTACTTGCAGCAGTGGGCCAAGGAGGATGTGGGTGCAAAGGAGCACCACTGGCCTCGCGACCAAGCGGCGGAAGCTCCACCGCAACAACCTGATTCAACCCGGAGGTCGACTTCCGACGTCACCAATTCAAAAGGGCAAGAGCAGTCCGCCTTTCCGGAGAGCGGTGCATCATACCGCGGGCACTGGGAGGCGAGGAGGACGCGCAGCCCAGGACTCTCCACGAGAGTCTGACGGCATCAGGGCTTCTTCCGAGTGTCGGAACTTGCACACTCTTGCTACAGGCGTAGCTCGGAGCAGCTCTAGACCAGAAGCTCCACCAAGCGCACTTCAAATCCCTCAGGCGTGACTTCTGCGCTTATGTACTCTCATGTAATGCCAGAACAAGGGCTGACCTCTTCCAGGAAAGCCCACAAATCAGCTGCAGCCGGATTGGAAGATCCAAAGCTCTTCTCAACTCCGTCGAGCGCTAGAAAGAGGCAACGGTTTCCTCAGGGGCAAAGTGTTGCATGCGGCGAAATCTCTCGACTGTTAGGCGAGGCCTTGCAAGAAAGGTATTGATACTGCATCGGGTGGACCCAGAAGCGTGCCTACCAAAGATTCCCGGAGCTTGGCCACTGCAGCCATGGGATCGAGCCCTGACCTACACCCGTGCATATTGTGTCAAATCAGTCGATAAGTGAGGGGCCATCGACATCTGAGAAGTAAGGAAGCGACAGGCGCACCCGCACTGCCCCGCATTTCAACGCAGCGCGGCCACCTGCAGCCGCCTCGGCCTGTGGCCCATGGCACCCCAAAAAGCACGCACAAGGGCTGCACGATGCTGCGCGCCTCGGAGGGGAGTTCTCGGCTGCGGCAAAGCCGCAGAGCACTTGGCGAGAAGAGCCTTCGTAGATTCATACAGATACAGTCCTATGACTATCAACACTATAGCGGAGCTCTCTCGCAAGGTTCAGCAGTGGCTGTGCCTGTCCCCCGGCAGCGAGTAGAAGCGGCAGAATTCGGAAATGAAAGCAGACTTGCCGATGCCAGCCTGCAGGTACGTAGCAAATGACTGCAAGGTCTGTAAACACTTCGTGTCTTGCGCCGGTGCAGAAGGGGCCTTGCCGTGAAGCCAGACAACCCGACGATGACCCAAGAAGGCATTGGCCACGGCTGCCATAGTGGAACCTTAGTCACAGATGAAGGTGCTCGAGACACGAGCAGGACAGTCTTCCGCGCCTCGTCCCACAAAATCTTCCACGGGTGGAGGAACGTCGTGTGCCTCCAACCTGCCAGACAGCAATAGGAGGCTTGGCGGTCGCAAGCCCAAAGAGTCGCAAGGCTTCGCAAGGTGCCCGGCCCGCTGAAGCGCGGCAGAGTCAGCGCCAAGCGGGGCAGCTGCACATCGGGGCCGGGGGCGAGCTTGGTCGGAAAGAAGCGGAAGTGCTCGGCCTGGGCATGTCATCGCCCGCCATCGCCCGCCCACCGCAGTCCCTCCGTCCCTCCACTCGCGGCTCGCGGCTCTCGGCTCTGCGCCGCGCGCCTCCGAGCGCAGCCCCGGCTGAGGCGACAAGCGCACGGCCCGTTGCGCCGCGGCGAAGGAGGCACGGGCCAACGCGGTGACCTCAGCTTCCCGCTGAGGTGCAGATGTTGAGCCAGGGAGACTGGCCTGGCATGATGATGCCGAGTCACAGGGTATGCTGACTTGGGAAGTGCAGCAGCCAACGACCGCAAGAAGATACCTCATCACGCCGACTCTCACGGAGCCTGCCCTTCCAGGATATGCTTCACGGAGAAACAAGCTGATAATATCTTTGCTCCGCAGGCACGAAGAAATTCGCGGGCCGCAGCATCAAACACTTCGCCTGCAGCAAGTCGGGCGATGACATGCGCCGAAACCTCCGACATGATTTTCCTTAGGCACTTGCCCGAGCAAGCGACAGCACAGCTGGCCCCGGAGGCGACGAAGCGCTCCGCCAGCGACCTCAACCATCTAGATGCTAAAGCAAAAAAACCAGTGTGAGGACAGCACAGCTGCACTTCTTATTCGCTGACAACACCGCCCACCGGCGTATCTGGATTTAGGCGGTTTGCAAATCGCAGGGTGCAAATCACACCTCAATGCCCAGGCATCTGTTGTTGCGGAATCCCGCACGAGTCGTTGACAAGGCTATTCACACCTGTAGCGAAAGTCTCAGGCCTGCTCCTCCTGCCCCTGCAACCCGTAACAAAAAACCATGGATTTACAGCTTGAAATCCTTTCAAATTCCGCCCAAGTTGCTCAGAATGACACGCATCAACTACCACGACATCGAAATTGTCAGCTGGAGTGCCTGAACTTGTGCTAGTTTGCTTTCCTCTTTCGTGCTTTTCGGAAGGTGGCAGGTTTCAGTGGCTACCCGGTTTCGGGAGGTACCTCCTTCCTTCCGGGGGCGCACAGTACTCAGTACAGGCAGACGCTCGTGCGAGCACGCTCCCCTTCACAACAGGTGTTACCCTTCTCTCAACCCTGACCAGTCTGTCCGTGAAGTCTCGTAGGCATGGGCAGTCAGGAGCCTGCTGTCTGCCCAGAATCTCCGGGCCCCGCTAAAACAGACCTGCTTCCCTCTCATGATTCCGGCACCTGGCGGCTGTGTGTGAGTTTTCTGTTGGCTACTATAATCATTGACTGCTGCGGTCACAAGCAAGGAAAAACACCTAACACTCCTCCGCAACCGAGCCACTTGGCCTGTCTCCCGCTGCAAGGTCCGGGCCGTTCAAATCGTTCAGTGCCAACAACTCATCCATGTCCCGGATGCCTACCACTTGCACGTGACCTTAGCTGCGGCGATTCACTCGCAACTGGGAAACGCCTGGCGAGATTACAGCCAGCCTTTGCAAACCTGACGCTGTCTTTTGCCTCACGCTTATTCAGCAGCTGAGGTCATGGCCAACTGCGTCCTCGAGTAACAATGAAGGTTGAGACTTCTCCACCGCACAATGGGCTGACAGGACGAGGACCCGAGGGGCCGGTGAGGAACGCTCCGTCCTGCACGGCACTTTGAGAAAGAGCGTTGAGCGTAGACGGACACAAGCCACTGAGAATGTTCCAGTCAGGGCTTGCCCTTGGAGTTGACAGGTTAGGGCGAGACCCGATCGGCTGCTAGCGGCCTATGGAACGTGGCATCATACAAGTGCATCTGCCTGGCTTACGTCATGCCGCGTCCTCCAAACTTCCGCCAAAGTTTCTGTGGTGGCTGTGCGGACCTCTCATCGACATACGTACATGCGCACAAGCTGCGGCCCATGCGCGACGATGACTGCTTGCCGGGACAAGCTGCTGAGAGGCACTCCACGCCAGGCATTGTAGCCAGAGCTTCAATTTCAGCTCGGATGTCCAGCGGCGCCACATCCAGAGGAGACGCATACAGGTATTCGAGGTGGAGCCCTGCCGCCTGGCATCGCTGTGCTCCACGACCACAGGCACTCCCCGGTGCTAGTGATGGTGCCGTTCTGTGCACTTCGGGGCGCCTTCGGCGGTCCTGGGCCCATTTCTCCAGACTTGACTGGGTCTCTGTCAATCCTGCAGCAGATGCACGGTCACACGGGCAAATCCGTCACGGACCGTTCTGCACCTGCTCTCCGCGCATATGCATTCGTGGTTCTCACAAGCCATCTTGCTGCCAGGCCTCTTCTTGTCAGTACTGTCTTCCGGCTTGCCGACACCGCGCGGAGACCCTGGCCTCGTGCGGGTGCTTGGAGTAGGAAGCCGAGTTCAACCACGGCACCTAGAGACAAATAACCCCGACTCTACTCCACAGACACTGCATTCCACAATTGCGGCATGCACTGCCAGTCAAAGCATCACCCTGCCCCAATTCCAGACCACACACACACCCCGACTAGCACCTCAACAACACGACCGCAAAGACATCCTATCTCGCCACGGAACTGCTGACGTTGCAACAGATGCTGTCGCCAATCTAGGAGCCAAGAAGGTAAGTCCTCAATGATGTCACCTGAGCTCTACGTCAAGCCACTTTCGACTTGCCGACCACCACGGATCTTGCAACGTGCGACTCACACGTCCCGAGACGCCGGATTTAGGGCAGACAGCAAGGTCTTCATCTCGAAGCACACTGTGCAGGTCGAGGACCTAGGAGCTTCAGGCAAAGCACCCGAAGCAAACAACATGAAAATGTTCAGTGATCTGCTTGCGATGACACGCTGCATGTGTGTGTCCAGCCGTGCAAGTGGGGCATCGGATGCCGGCGCGAAAGCTTATCCTGCACAGGTTGTGTTGTGGACCGGGCTTGTGTATCCTCAGTAGCGGCGAGTCCTTGGCATCCACGCTGTAATTGCCTCTCGAAAGTTGTGAAGCAATCGCTCCTTGGTGAAAGCACCCGTGCACGGCCAGCAAGCCAATGCGAGATTACGGCAGTTTTAAGCAAGGCATAGCAAGGCGCCATACAAAGCCAAGGTTTTGTTGCCAAGATTCCACATGCCGCCACGAATGCCGCGCTTGTGCCTCAACAGAGAACGGATGAAGCCAGATTCAGGAGTCATGAGGTGTCATGAGTTTCCTATCCACCCGCCTCAGAGCGCCGTGGGCGCAAGGCGCAGCGCAGCAGATCACCCCAAGGCCTCGCTCACGCAGCTCACGCCGGCCCCAAGATCATCTGGATGCATGCTTTGTGCACGTGATGCTGAGATGCCCTGATAATGCATCCAGAGCTCTGGACAGACACCAACAATAGCCTTACAGCATTCCATGGCAAGCATAAGCTCGAATATGCGGACTTGAAAGGAAGAAGATCTGGTGACGACCGGCGACTCCGTGGGACGCCACTTCCCGGAGAATCGCAGAGAGTCTCCCTGAGCTTGGCCCTGTGTGGAGACAGCGAAAGTCGCCTCGAACGAAACGAGGCAAGGCTGCAAGGCTCCGAAAGGCGCAAGTTTCCGAGAAAACATCCTTTTCAAGTTGCGAAGTTCGCGTACATTGACAGGATCTGCACTCCAGACTCGACTTTGCTCAAACTGCACAGCCTCGGATGACCAAGCACCAGGCCAGGGCGATATCTCAGCATGCCACTGCTTAATGCAGTTGGCGCACAATCGTGGGATCAGTGTTGGCAGAAGGCGACGGAGGAGGCCATGGAAGTCCAAGTACAGCACACAGGCGTCCTGGTCATCTTCGCGCTCGGCGCGCTCGCGCAGCGGCCGCAGCGGTAGCTGCGAGGGCACCAGAAACACGTTCTGCCTCAACGAAGCTGCAAGCAGGCTTTTTCAAGAAGGCTGAGGCTGCAGAGCTACAGTACTGCTGCGCTGCTTGTTTCCTCTACAGTTTCGCCAAAGTGGCCGCTGCAATGGGCTCTGCTTGTCGTGCCCCCAGGATAGAAGCAAATCCAGAGCCTGCAGAGCCGGAGAGCCCCAGCCCCCAGTAGCAGCACCGCACCGCCACCAAGCGATGCGAAGCGATGATAAGCGATGCGAAGCGACCATGGTTCACTATTGCACGATTACTCTCTGCAAGCTTCGGCAGTGTTGACCCACAAGGAAAACTGAGTTGCGGCGCCTGAAGAAGGCCGACCAATTCGCCTTGATATTTGGAGAAAACTTTTGCACGCCACACTGCCGCAAGGAGCTGCGCGTGGAGCAGCCCTGCAGGTCTTTGTTTACACTGCAAGCATCCTCCACTGCAGCGCAACCCTCCATGTCCCAACGACATCGTTTCCACAAGCCCTTGCGCCTTTCTCCTTCAGCTCTGCAACTTGGTTGACACAGCCTTGGAACACCTTGTCCTTCGCTGTGAGCACCTTTCGAAGGCTGAGGACACTTGTCCGACGAGGCTCCTGCTGCTTGCAACAGTCGTTTGCCGAGATACAGCGGCCGCAGCATCGCCAACCCAACCGGGCTTCAGGCAAATTAAATCTCCTCGTAGCATCATGTGGCCACTCTTGCTTGTGAACAGAGATGTCAAAAACGGGTGCTGTCCCGTACAACCTGTACATGGACAAGGGGCTCAGCTCTTCAAAGACTGACTCCGGGAAGTGGAGCAACGCACCAAGTCCATGAAAATGGCGCAAGAAGCTCTGCCTACAGCACTCCGTGCATCGTCGCTTTCTCACTTCCAAAGCTGGCCGTTTACTGTCCTCGATCGCTGAACGAGGGGCAGTTCCGTCCGCGATTCGAAGCCGTATCGTTTGCAACGCTGCCACAAGTCTTCCACCTTGGTGGGGGCGGGGGTCGAAACAAGAGAAGAGTCGGAAAGGCCTGTGGCCAAAGTGTAAGTGCAGCCTCGCCGCGCGCGTCAGCGGGCCCAGGTTGCCGTTGCCACCGGTCCGCTGCAGCACAGCCCAGAAATGGCTCCAGCGAAGGGGCACAGCCGTGCTGAGAGGTCCTTTCTTTGCAGTGATAGAAAGGCACTAGGCCTAGGCAGCCAGCACTACTGCCAGCACTTGCTCCTTGAAGCAGTTTGGCGACCATGCTCTCAATGGCTTCGCGAAGGTCAGAAATGGATCCTCGACTGAAGCTTGCAATGGAGGCGAGGCACCTGGGACATCCGCCGCCGAGTCGCTTCCACTGTCGGTGCTAGCATTGTCAACTGGGAAGAAGCAGAGCTGGCTCTGCTCATTGATCTGTAATTGCCTGCATCTTCCCAAAAGCTCCCGACAGCCATGAAACTCCGTCGCTCGCCCGAGGCAGACGCTCATTGAGTTCGGGCAGCTTCGTGCAGAAAGCGGATATGCGCTCATTGACTTCAGCATACACTTTGCGGCGGGAGTCTTGCGAAAGACCTGGCGATCTGCATGAGATCGGAATGCGCAGACCACGCATGACCGAGAATTTGCCGAATCGGCAATCAGCTTGGGCTGAGCCCAGCACAGTCGTCGTGCGTGCCAACGATGGCCACAGGCGAGTTCGGGGCATGGACTGCAATGGAAGCCAGCCACCACTCCAGGGCTTGCCACGTGTTGGAAGCCTCTGACTCCTTCACTTCTTCTATGCCCACCGCATTAAACGCGGAGAGATCTATACAAGCCAAGTATATGCCATAATCCTTGGCTGGGGCATATCACAGAACTAATCAACACGGCCGCACTGTACGTTATCGAAGCTGCCCAGCAGCACTCAGAAACAGATGGTGCATGGCGTAGTATACTTCCTGGCCGCCAAAATCGTAAGCCTCACAGTCGCTTTCGGAAGACTGGGAGGGACAATCTTGCTGCCGCAAAGGCAAGAACAAAACTTTAGCAATGAATCCTGCAAACCATGATCGCGCTCTGGGCTTGAAATCCCGCTGGCTGACCCCGTTGCGTTGCCTCCAGCACGACCGTCTTGTCCTGATTCGATTAAACGCTGGCACTTTTGCATGCACATCGAGTCGAGATTTGACAGCTTAAAGTCTGCTTCCCATACTACCCGCAAGACGGCCCAATCTGCCGGGCATGCGCATGCTCCAAACGAACGCTTGCGTCCCGCTTGCCTGCGCCACATCTGTGCCATGTGCTATTCAATGTTCTTTGTCATGAACAGACAGACATGATGGACAACACCAGCTCGCACGCACACAGATAGACTGCGAAAAAGAGAGCGAGAGTGAGAGGGATGGTTGCTCGATCTGTTTTCGATGATGCTCGGCGAGTTTGCATTTCGTGTCCGCGGCTGTGCCTGTCGTAAGCCGTAAGCTGTAACGATGTTTGGCCAGGCTCCACTGGCCCTGGCACTCTTGATGAGGAATGCTGTCTCCTGTCGGTGGCACCCGGCGCTGGCGGTGGATGAAATTTGAACCAAACACTTTGACGCTGGCTTGGGCCCACCGGCCATGAACCACACGCAAGGCAAACGACACCACCACCGAGACTCCAACGGAGCACAGGCAAGAGCTCACCCTCGTGGACAGAACACAACGACATTCGCATTGTTTATAGGTGCACGGCCGATCGGGCCCCTGTGCGCGTGAGTTGCATGTCGACGTTGAAGACCGTCCTCGTGAGAGGTGTTCAAGTTGGCCGCAGTCTCTCCAAGCCGCCTGTCGGATAAGCACTAGCAACCATTGACAACAAGGAGCAGGTCTGGAGCAACTTCTTTGGACTGCTTTTGCTGCCCGCCTTGCAATCAAATCCACCGGCATTCGCTTCATGACGGCTTTCTCATCCAGGGCTTCTTGCTTTCCTGGCAATACTGCAAGCTTTGTGCATGGGACCCGCTCATCGCCTTGACAGCTTCAGCCCAGGTACCCATCTTCGCCGCATTGGGCGGAACGGCATTGCCAGGTGGGCGCACGAGGTCTGCCACATACCTGCTAATGTGTCAATATTCTTGCTCAGTCTCAAGATGTCTCAAGCGCCAAAGTGCTTTGCGACGCCGCGATCCCAGCGGGAGCAGCTCGCCGCTGTCTGCGCGTCCTGGCACGAAGCAACTTGAAGACCCGCCTCGCAACGCAGCCAGCTGGCACCAAACTCTCCTGCAGCTGCCAACGTTGCCCTGGAGCTGCAGAGATCAGGTCCTGCGGTGAGTCGCTTCTTCGCAATGCAACTCGGGAGCGTTCCAGAAGAAGGGAGCTTGCTCGAGGCTCGAACTGCGACTTTTTCGCAGCCTTCCACCTGCCTCAATCGCCACAAAGATAATCCAAACATCTAATATGGTCTGAGTCCAGACATCTGAAATGTAGAGCATTCTGTCGCTTTGCCGATCCTTCCATAAAGTTCTGAAAGATCTTGCACCTTGCCATGCACGGCTTTGGGTCTGAGCTCGCCCTGTGGTATCCCGGCTTGAAGCTCGGGTTTACATTGGCTTGCAGTCGAGGTCGTCTCTCGAGATGACCCGACGCGTGTTTCTTTTCCAAGCCACTTAGAGTGGCCCCGCGGCGATCTTGGGATGCTGGCGACTGGCGACTTACCGGGTTGCAAAAGCGAGCTCCTGTGAGAGTGCCCAGCAAGCCAGGCCGTGCGTGCTCTCCTGATCGCGCCTCACAAGAAGCGGTGCTTGAAGAGTTCCACTGGAGGTGACTGGTGACTAGATGCAAGCCATGCCTCAGAGGCAGGCCCGCCAAGGCTTGCAAAGTCGATGTCTTCCCAGCGCGTGCAGGGCCAACAAACCCCAGCTTTGCACACCGTGGCTGATGGGTTCCTCAGGTTCAGACTCCCAAAGCTGCCGCGAGCAAACCAAGACCCAGCCGTCTTCTGGCGGGAAAGCAAGGTGTGTTGGGCGACCACCCACCACCCTCCTACCACTCGAAAAGCGAAACCAGTACGACCCGCCTTGGAGCAGAGCTCTTCGGAAGGCATCTTTGGCGTCGTCGCCAAGTGCTGTGGCCAAATGACGTGCTGCGCCTCGTGTACTCCGAAACTTCTCCAGCTTACCTGAGCAAAGGAGTAAGGATGGCCCGAAAGCTGAAAGCATTCGCCGAAGCTGTCGCGAAAACATCTGCGGTTCGCACTCGATGGCAGGCGCACTCTAACACTATGGAGCCCATCTTGGCAATGCAAGCAGGGACCCGCAGCTTTTCTAAGCAATGCAGAGCCGTCACGTCTGACAGAGTCTGACAGCTTTACATCACTGACGCCGACATCACGGGTTAGAACTGTACATCAGAGTTGGGAGCAGCGCCAGGGGGAATGCAGCTTTGGCACACGGCTACGCATCTACTCACCCTCCTCATCACAAGCTATGCAAGCCTCCACGAATGCCTCTTCGGCAGCACTCGGATTACCGAAGATCTCGAACTGCAGCGGAAACCAAGAGGCCAATCTGGAGTCGTCTACTTCCTCCGTGCCGTGAGGATGCAGCTAACATCTACCACAACCATCCCCAACCTACTGGTTGACCCTGCTACCACACGCGCCGTAGCTAGCCAGTACTTGCTCTAGGAAGCTGAGCTGCAGATTCCGTGCGAAACCTACCCCACGGCATATAGCTAACCGCAGAAATCTTAATGCCCGAAGCCACTGCCTTACAATCAAAACCAGCCAAAGGCTGCCAGAAGAAAACCCGGAGAAGCACACGCGAGAAACAGAAGCATCACCCAAGACGCCTTGCCAACCACAGTGGCTAACGCATCCAGAAGTGGTGCTCGAGCTGCTGCGGTCAGGTGCCCTAATTCGAAATCCTCCTCCCACACTGGCGAATGGTTGTCCTGCCAAGTGTCACACGTAGTTTAACTGCGACATCTGCGACCACCTTGACAGCTTTTGACACGCAAGTCCTTGATGACGGTGCTACAATGGGCAGGTGTACGCAGAAGGCCGTGCATCAGTCCATGGCCCAAGTTCTTGCGAACGAAAGATGCTTGCGCACCGAGCGCAGAAATCTCCACAAATGGATCAGAAGGGCTGGCAACGTCACCTCGGCAAGAAGGCGGAACACGTGCAACTGCGGGAATGCATGGCCGATATGTCATTGTGCAATCAAAACACACCTTGGGATGTTCTTTGCCTCATGCAGGCACACGCCCAAGCCTTCAGGCAGAGCGGCAGAACAACAATCACCCAAGCTGCCTAGGACTTGTTTGGACAGCCTCCACAGAGCCGAGACGTACTCGGTAGGTTGAGTGGTTTGAAGGACACCTTCACGGACGTCTCTCCCTGCAATCAGTGGTCACCCGAGGGACAATCAAGCATGATAGACCTTTTGACGAGATTCAGTAGCCCCGCGAAGCCACGCCTTGAAAAGGAATCCAGCCTTCACCCGGTGTCCACCCATGTCCTCAACACAAGGAACAAGATCTGTGCAAATGGATTTGTTCTGCCCGACAACATGCAGGCGGTGAATTGCACCTGACGAGTGTAAAACAAGGCCTGCTCTATGACATTCCGCACATCCGCTTCAGCCCCTTCAGTCCTGCAGCTGCAAATCCTTGGTGCCAACTGCCTCTTCTGCTGCCAGAACCTGAGTTTCCCAAATGCGACACGTTGGTGCCGCCTCACGGCTCTTGTCTTAACACACTACACAGTCCTCCACTATGCAGCAGCTCCCTGCCGTGTACATTCTCCTCGACCCTGACCACGCAAGTGCACGCAAGACTGCGGACCCATACGACCACCACATTTAATGTTGTCTTCGTCTAGCCTCCTACAACTTGACCGACTACCCTCCGTCGCAACTCGAAACTAGCATCAAGCCTCGGAAGATGCCATCGCTTGCAGATAAGTTTTAACCAACAGCGGCTTCCCTTCTCAGGTCTTACAGTAATCGTTGTCACCTGCCAGCACCGAAAGCAACTGAGGAAAGGTCTGCTGCACCGATGAAGTCGTCATCTGTGAATGCGTCCTTGTCCCAAACCCTGAACGTGATGCTAGCCACTGGCTTCCAGAACCTTGCCACGTAGAGGCTGCAGCACTGGTAGAGGAGCTTGGCAAGGGCGACGCGATAGAGACGCCAGAATTTCTGCCGATCAGCTTGCTCGGACGGCGACAGCCTGGCATGGCCTTCCTCGGTGTTGAGCTCCGAGCGGCCCCAGTCAAAGATGTGCACCCGGGTTGGCACGCTCTGCGAAGAGCGCCGCGGGAATGTTGCACAATCGAAGACAAACATGACCGATGAGCCTGACTTCGTCAAACATACTCTGCACACACATCTGTATTTGCCATGCGTGGTCTCACAAAATATCGGCCCCCGCCTATCCATTGCTGTGGCACCGGCACCTCCACGAGACTTTGGAAGCTGTGAAATGACAAATATTGAGACAGTTTACACACTTGCTGAAACAACTTCCCAACGTACGTCCCGACAGAGTGCTATGCATGTAACCTAAGCTGGTCACAACTGCACATTGAATACACCTCACAAACTGGACGACCCAGCTGCACTGAACAGGGTAAAGCTCAAGAGACCAGGTACTAAGTACCTTCGCAATGTCACTGCCTGCTTGGTGCGGGCAAACCAGACAAAGCAAACAGAGATCCCTCGCGAAGGGGGGGGGAGTCATCAAAAAGTCAAAAAGCCTTTCACGGTTCGGGGGCTTTTGTTTGCAGGGCATAGTAAGGGTGCAGCGATTTGGTGCATATCTGCTGGCCACGGGGTGGGGGTGCGGACAGTCTGGACATGGTGTGTAGGATCCTGCCTTGCGACATGCCACCACGAGGCCAGCGACCTGCTGAATGCACTGGAGCAAGACCAGCTCCTGCAAAAGACGCTGAACAAAACAAAATGAAGCAGCAGAAACTCACAAAAGAGAATGAGGAGACTGCATGTGTGCTCAGCCACCTTAAGTTGCAAGTCCAATATCTTGGAAGCTACTTCGGTCAGCAGAAACCATCCCCAAATCGACATAACTGCAGCACAACTGAGTAGATCTTCGCGGAACCTGCCTCTTGAATGTTTGGCTAGCTCGGACTCCGGATCTCATGGACAAAGTGTCCGTGAAACGGCGGGGCTAAGCAATCCACCGGATGGTATGTATGTCTCTGAAACGCCGAGGCCAAGGCAAAATCGTCTACGAAACGACCTTCTCTGAAAGGCAAATTACCAGTACCATGTCATAGAGGACTTAACCCCTCCATTGGCGGAGTTTTGTAGCATCACAGCTCAACGACCCTCTAGCTCCTGGATTTCGATGGCCCGAAGGCAGAGCTCGTTCGGAGGTCCTGGCGCCTGGTCCTGGTGTGCCCCGGTTCGTGGAAATGCCGTCACTCTGAGTCTGTTCTAGACATGCGTGAGCTAGACTTGCGCACGCGGCCTGTGCGATTGCAGGGTACCCCGGCTGCGTAGGAAAGGTGGGGGCAGACGGAGGGGTGGAGCCGTGGCAGAAGAGCTTCTGGAAAGTCGCGCGTGTACTCCGGCGCCTGGATCCTGTGGAGCCTGTCGAATCAATCAGGCAAGTTCAGTGTCACCGACATCTACTTTGGAGCACCTCGCGAGTTCACCATGGACTCTGTTGTGTCTTCCGAGATCTGCCGGCCCAAACTCTCGGGGACGTGGTGCAAGTCCAGAAAGATGCGGAGGAACTCGTTTGCCTGTCCATGGACTGGCATGCAAGCCGCTAAACTGCCCGACAGCCACGAAGGACAAGCAGACATTCCCGCGGCCTGCATGCGCTGCAAATTAAAACGGCGCAGTCGCCTTGTGACTTTTGGACATGCATCCAATTCACGATAGTATCCCCCAAATGATCGGAAACACTAAGCTTACCGGAAACTCTGCGTTGAGAGACAGATTCTGGCTGCCCAACCCTTGTCAGTGAAGCCCAAAGAACCAAAGGAGAGCTCATCTACGACACTATGAGTCACTATGACGCTGAGGGACTTCTGCGCGTGCCGAGGAATGTGACTCAGCTGCAAGTGCTCAATGCTTCGAAGAAGTGCCGGAGGATTGTCGAACCCTTCGAGGCCTTAGCGTGACTTGCGACACTCTGCTAGACTTATCTTCTATGAATTGTCAAGGAAAAACATCATAATTAGTTGCACACTTCGAGCGGGACGAACATACTCGCTTCCGCAGTTTTCTTTTCGGCTCCTCATCGCTCAAAAAAGGTGCTGACGAGAGCGCTTAGTGCAGGCATAGCCATTGTGGCACAGCACACCCAAGTTCCAGGGTGGCAGGCAAAAGCAAGACATTGCCAGATAAGCAGAATTCTGCAAACGAAATGATGGATGATGGTGACACTGCTCACCATGAGGATGATGCCAGACGACAGCATCCAAAGCAGTAGGTAACGCACAGAAGCTTGAACGCATTCATGACAAGCAATGCAGGGCTCAAGCTGCAAGGGCTCAAGCTGCATTCAGTTCGCTACCCAAGGCAGCCCATCTCGAGATGATTATCGAGAGCAAGGTTTCAAGCATGCTATCTCGTGCAAGGTCTGAACCTGATTGTCGGAAGCTATGTTTTAGTGTGAAAGACAAGCAGTCCATCACGCGAGCATACACAAGCTAGGTCATCGTTGCATCGTGAGTTTGGCCATCCAAGCCCCTAGGCTGAGACAAAATCAGACGCAAAAGTAAAAGCAAAGGATATGGCAGACACGGTAGCCTTCCAAGGGCTTGGTCCCATAATCCCTCATGCCCAACCTCTCAGGAAAGATCGAGATCGTCGACAGAAAGGCAAGGCAAAGGGAAAGGCACAGGTAATGCAGCTGGCAAGGGTAAGAGGACGTACACCATCCCATTTCATCCATGCTTCGGAGGCAGATGGCGTCCAAAGGGACGCGCAGGACATGGAATTGATGCCAACGTGGTCGGGAACGTTTGAAAGTCTCTTGGTTATCCTCTTGCTCTATAAGGCAGCTCATGGATCAACACGTATCTCGATAGATTGGAGGCTATCTTGCCTGATCAGCTAGTTGTTCCGCTTCGTCTGGTCTGATATGCTGCTATGCCTTTGATACACCGGGAATACCACCAAATTTCACAAACACCAGGGTGCATCATCCCAACCAAGAGATCTCCCTTGACTCCACTTACCAAGGTTTGCCAAAGGCAGCTGAAACCAGCTGTTTCCAGCAAAGCTGCCACTTTGACTTGCACCAGTTCCAAAACATGTTTGTTTGGGTTCAGGTGACATTTAAAAATTGCTGTCCGTTTACATGCCTGCATCACTTGTGCAGAAATGTTCGTGATGAGTTTCATGAGTTTCTCGAGTTTCAAGTTGCCGAGCACGCATTCGTCTATGCAGTGTTTTTCCTCGCTACCTAGCAGAGCAAGAACGACCGTTGCAGGGTGACTTCGAAGAACGGATGCCACTGGACTTGCTTTTGAAAGCACAATGTAAAAGCAGGTCTGCAATGGTTTGTAGACCCCGAGTTCGCTTCGAGGCTTCACACATCTGGAACGAGGCCTGATGCCCAGAACGGAGTTACAAAGTGCACTTTTAGCGACACTGTCTCGTGACTCTCGTGCATATCTCAAGCACAACAAAAGGGAAAGCAGTCTGTTGCCTCCTCTCGCTCACGGGCGGCTGCTCGCACGAAGACAGGCAAAAAGCATGCACGCAGAGATTGCCAATTACCGATTTCAGCATGGCTTTGATTTTGAAGCAGTCGAAAGTCCAGGTTGCATGCGAGCAGGGGCAAACCGGGGACAGATGCATGGCTTTGCTGCGAAATATCACCCTTTCTTAGAAAGGGTCAGAATAAAATTGCGAAGACCATCGCTTCGGCAAATGCGAGACGCAATTCAATCCGCACTTACTAAAGTAAAGTAGCCATGTGGGCGGCTGCGCCTTTGTCATGAAGCAAGCATGTCTAGCTGGGATGATCCGTGCAGGGTCGACCTGATCGAAGCCCCACCGCAAAGCCTCCGCAAGAACACCACTCGAAGAACTCCTGAAGGCTTTCCCACTTGAGGAGCCAACGGAAGCCTTCTCCAGCTGAGTTCGTGTTCGAATCCACGGTAATGTGCCTCGCGTGACATCGGAGGCTTCCAGCGGCAGAAAGACAGACCAAACAAGTAAAAATCATACACCGAAACGATTGCATTGCAGCCCGGGCTCTGGACAAACGCCTTCATGTTGCCCTTGCCCTGCCATCCACCGACCGCAGTGACGTTGCCCATCTTGATGTCAAGCATCCGTGCGCTGACCAAGCCGTCTCTGCAATTCCGAAGCAACATCCTTGTAGCAAGCGCTCTCAGATGTGTACACTGCTCAAGTCGCTATGAGCTATGGGTAAACACAGCAGGTCGTTGACAGGGGTACTCATGCAGGAGCGTCGATGACGGGTTCTTATGCATTCCGGACGTCCGTTCCACGGGCTTGGCATGCTTTTCTTGGTCTCCACTGAACACAAAGTCGCAGATGTCCACACCTACACTTCGGGTATGTTCGGGTGATGGCTTGATCCTCCGAGCATCAAGTCGACATCTTCGGCTTCTTTGCCTTCTTTTACTGCGCAAGGAGCACGACACACGCCTCAACATCGCTGTTTGAGGGCACATGGCATGCAAAGCTGGAAGGCCCATGCGCATTCTGCTGACAACTGCGCGATCTTAGGCTCTTGCCTCTGTAAGGTGTCATGAAATTGAGGATCTGCCAGCCGTCTCTGCCCTGCAAATTCTTGGCAGCCTCGTAGAAAACCACTTCGTCTCGAGCTCGGGCCAAGTCTTTACCCAGCCAGTAATTCTTGCTCTCCTCACCTTGTGCTCCCTCCTCTGGCACTCGGGCACAGCACCACTGACTTGGCAATTCACTGCCCTAGAACTCAACGCCACACAGCCTCTATCTGTACACGCAATATTTAACCACCCAGAGTCACCAGTCCATTGAATTGGTAAGTGTCTTAAAACCATAAGTAAAAACAGACAGATATGATTTTAACCAAAAACATGGGATTCCTGCATAAAATGATCGGCTTCGACGCACAAATCGAAAAGACACCACCTCTTGAATGTTCAACGACGTAAACTTGTCCTATCTTTTTGCCTTGTCGTGTTCTAAAGCTTCGACACTACACAGGTAAAGCATCGGACATGAATAGGAACAGTTGGATCTAGTGGCAGAATCCTCGACTCAAACAAAATGCAGCATGTTGCTCATGGTAAACACAAACCCTACATATTGATGCGCTGGGTTTGCCTCATTTTTTGAACATACGCACAAAAAACAAACAAGCAAGAAAGAAATACGGCAAACTTATGATTCTGGCACGAGATCTCCGATTTCAGTACAAAGATCGAAAAGACACCACAGATGGCCCATTTTCAATCAAAGCCCCAGGGTTTGCGATTGGCTTGCCCTGCTTTTCCTATAAAAATATGCAAGAAACGGCCTTGAATTTCCTAAGGTAAAAACGACAACATGAAGCAGTTCGAGTCTTGCTAGGATTCGACACAAACATCCTAAACACCGACTATTGCTGACTGGCGCAGAACAACCAAAAACTGCCTACGTAGGCGTAAGTTACATGTTTCCTGAGTCGCAAGTTGTTCCTTTTCTTGCATAAACGGGGCATGCGAGCAGCACTCTGCAGTAGAGCTTGGCAATCAAACGAATATGTCAAGCCGCTTCGTCTGAGGCCCCTCGAATACTTTTCTGATGGTGTGACGCAGGCGAGAAATTCTACGGATTGCCCTGTGTGACCCTGATGTCTGAGCTGGGCTCCTGCTGCAAAAGCTCAGTGGCAAAGAAGCTGGCCGTGCCACCAGATCGTCCCAAGGCACCGCAGGGTGTCTTGAAGAGATTGCTCGGGACTGCTGTCACTTGCAGTAGTGATGCTGTCGGTCGAATTTTCTTAGCTAAATAATTGCAAAAGCGCTCGGCATAGATGTCTGGTGGCATGGTGTCGATCTCGTCCACCCAACCAATAGTCAAAGCCTTTAAGAGATGGGCAACCTTCTTCTTCCAGCCGTAGGTTACCAGCATATCAACAAGACCAAGACAGACCTTACAATCGCGAGTCTCTCCCCAGAGACCGCGGCTTTCCTTCGCTGAGAACACTCGGTGATGCCCAGCCTGCTCTGACACAGGGTCGTCAGGTGGGCAAAGGGCCACAAGCAGAGAGTAGTCCATGATGCCTTGCTCCTGAAGGAAAGCGGTGTCAGCGGCCAAGCCCTCGTTGATCGTCGTCGCATCTTGCCTGTCCAAAAAGAGCGTGATTGGAGCGAAGTTGTTATCCTTGAGACAGCCGCAGGTTTTGGGGTCAACCCACCGATCCTCAGGAAGGCGGACGTTCAAGGGGCCGAGTGCACACAACCCATGTCCATTCCAAGACGCTTCGGTGGTTCCTTTGAGGTCGAAGAGCGCCTGAATTTCACCCAAGCCGGCAAGGACATTGCTCATCACGACAAAGAAGGTATTGTCGCCCTCCAAGTGGAACCGGTACGCCCCATAATATCTGGTAAGGACTGAGTGAGGGTTGCTTTCCAAGTGCTCCTGCAAGGCACTGCGTGTCAAGAAATTGACTTAACAAGTCCCCTCCCTCGTCCAGTCAGTTACAGACGCAGGTTAGCCAGCAGCAATGATGTCCTTGTACTCGGGTAGCATCTTGATCAACTGGCCAACCTCTTGTTCAGAGACCGTTTTCAAAACATATCTTTGATCGCGCGTCCGCCAGAAGATCTCCCCGGACTTGCCGGAAGCCTCGGTCCTGGAGAAGGCTCAAGACTCAAGAATTTGGTGGAGCCAACAAAACAATCCCTTGCCAGATTGCAGGCTGGGCACTTGCCACCCGTGAGGTTCCCAGAGACCAAGGACTGAAGAAAGTCAGCGTAGCTCACAGAATGAACATGTAGAAGCGAAGCAAAGAGCGGCGCTGCCAGCACCTCAAACGAAGCCAGCTCGCCGCCTGCGACAGTCTGGGCTGGTCGCTTTGTACGCGCCACTACAGGAAACCGCTTCGCCTGTGTGAAGCCGGAAGCTTGATCTGGGAGAAGACTGATACTGCACTCGCAGCTGCTTCACTTGCCCAGGAGCCGGGTCAACGCCAAACTCCTCGCAAAGCCATGTCTGCTGGGCGGAGGTATAAGGTCTCCTATCTCCAACAAACCCATCCTCGTTCGAGACGGTGACTTGCTGGCCGCTCAACATCAGCTGTCTCAGCGGGGCGATCCTGGAAAGCCCAGAGGCCCGAAGTAGATCGCTGACGCTATCAAGGCAGAAAAGGAGCATCCTGCGGCCGAGGGTCACATCAACAACCTTGTCAGAAATGCCGTAGACTGCACATACAAGTCCTGAATAGCCGTGGCTCGCAATGTCAAATGATTACTTGCAGCAGTCATCACGGTGCTAGCAGCTAGCAATGGCGAGTGTCCCTCTGCGCTACCGGGTGGAAGCTCCAGACCTTCAGGTGCCGAAGAGATGTAAATCCTCATCCTCATCTGCGAGCTTTAGAATAAAGCTCGCACTTGCCGGCCTTCGCCTTCCCGCACCACCACCTCCACCAAATTCGTCGAATGCTTGTACTGGATGCGAAAGACTTTCCTGCCCAACACAAGCAGATGCAGCGTGAAGGAGATCAAGGTACATCATGCAACTGCCAAGCAACTGCCACTTGCCCTCCCATGTGCCTGCAGCCGATTTTGGGGTCGAGGCCCATCCTCTCATTGGTCACCGGCACCGCCCTGCCTCGAAAGCGCACGGAATCTGTCCGGCCGGTTCGTCCTACGTTGGACCCGCTGCTCGCCTTGCAGAAGATCTTCGCGAGTCTGATCGGTGACATCAGCCCAGTCCTCGAATCGACAGTTTTGTTAGTTCCTTCATTGTTAGCCACAGCTGCGGACTAGGTCCAGAAGACAGTTCGCTGCCGTCCTTGAAATGCGTGTCCAGCGTGCCATAACGAGCACACACCAACTCGGTGATAAAGCCCTCTGGAAATTGAATCTGCTCGAACTCACCGGCCTGTGACAAAAGCAGCCATCTAGGCCAACAGCAAAGCCGCTCTTGGATTCAAAGCTGCTCTGAGCCTCGGCAGTGATTAGCTTCGAATCCAAGAGATCGTGTGAACGACGAAAACCATCCTGCAGACACGAAGCTAGAAGTACAACACCTTGCATATTCAATTTTTAGCTTGGCTGCTCGCGCAAGGTGTAGCAAGGACTTGCTTCAAGCTCATCTGAAACTAATTTCTGAATGCCTTGTTCGACTGGGGCCACGTACTACCCCTTACTCCCGAGATATCAGGATCGAGCTGGCGGGGCGGAGCAGCACCTGGATGTAGCCCTTCAGGTCGTCGGCAGAAGGGCTCGGCATGTGTCATGCCCGCAAAAGCTGCTTGAAAACGCGACTCAGGATGAGAAGCTTTCTCCCTGGATTGTCTGCTCGGTGACCTGTGGTTGTTGAGGCTTGGTGGGTCTAGCATCATGCAAATCATCTCCCTGACTCCGGGCAAATTTGTAAGCCCTCGTGACATCTGCCGTTGGACCAGACGGCTGCAGAACCCTGCGCCACAACGCATCCTTGAACCATCGAACCCCCCCACGAAAATGACATGAGCACGACTTGCAAGCTGAGCTGCTGCTGGCACTAAGCCGTGCATTCGCTGGCTTCTGCGTTACATTGCGCAGGCTGGACTCACGGCTAGCCTCAATCTTCGGTCAACAGATCATCCTCCACAATTCGGTGCGCAAATTCTCCCTCACGACTTCAGCTTGGGCTTCGGCTGTGGAGGGTTGCGGGCTCTTTTGCAGCTTGCCTGCATGCGAGCTGCCACTAGGTTCAGCATGTGGGCCCGTGGGCCTGTGCGCTGTTCCAACCTATCCGGCTCTAGCGACCCCAGCCCCTGCAGAAAAGCCCAAAACCCACTAAGTTGTGCCATTCAGCCGCGCCTACATTCTCTCACAGCCGTTGACCAATACTTGTATTCTTGTCTCGGTTTCGTCGGCACCGCACAGACACAGTCGGTCTTGGACGGAGGGACGGTTTTCGAAACTGACCCGGGATGAGCATAACCCTGGCCTGGACGTTCGCCAACGGATGCCCGCTTTGTCCGTGGAGGCGTGGCCAGTGAAACCTGGGACTGCCGCGGAGGTGGCGATCCTGCGTTCGTCAAACACTTCCTGTGTAAGGAGGCCAGGACATCCGGACATACATTCTGGACTTGGGGAAACTGAACCAGCATAGCAGCATGATCGTCCGAAATGTCCTGATTTGCGAACTTCTCCGCCCAGAGGTCGCGGAGGTTCCGAAGCCGCACGCCTCAACAGACCAACACCTCGCTTCCCGTGTACCTGGCCTTAACCTAGTCACCTAGTCAAAGCTTCGATGCATGCTTCCAACAGCTGTGAAGCAGCCGTGCCTCATTGCCCTTTGCTTGACAGATGGGTTCCTCAGCATTGCATCACGGAAGCTGGAAGAGCTGGAAGCTGCCAAGCGGGGTTTGCCACCTTTGGCTTTGCGGACCAAGCATCGGCTCCTCCAGGCCATCCACACGAAGGTTCTTGAACTCACCGGAGCTCGTCGCTCCCGGTGAGGCTCGGCTCCTTGGACATTGGAAGTCTGCGGTGATCCGGTGACTGGTCGACTCTTCGACCTCCGACGCCAAGGGGCAGCTTCCTGCTTGATGGCTGCGGCTTGCCTTCAGCAGCAATCACGAGAGGCTTCCCAGCCAATCCCACGGGTGCTTGTTGCTGCCACGTTGCCGAGCACAGAGCTTCGAGGACTCTTTTTCCTTGCTTTTAAACCATCCTAAACCCCAGGGGAAGCATCGGCCCTTCAGCAGATTTGAGCGAAAATGGGCGAGCATTCGACAAAGAATGACCCAGATTTTTGAAGCAATGGACTTACTTATCAGACGACTCAGACGACAACAATTCAGCTGTGATTCGCTGAATTCGCTGGCTGGACGCTGGGCTCCGTCATCCGACGTGCACTGTTCTTCGACACTGCTGCAGCCTGTGCAGACTCCGCAACGCTGGCCTCAGTCGCAGTTGAACAGAGAGTACGACCCAAGCTTGAGTGAGCTATTCAGTCCAGATTGCTGTCGTGACTGTGGACTCCGTCGCGCTTGCCTGCTCGAGAGACATGGAAGGTCAGAACTGAAGTTTCATTTTGAACGCGTTCTCTGGCACCTCGCTATCAGAAGGCCAGGCTTCCACCGCGAGTCTGTAGTCGTTGGCGCCTTGGAACGACGAGATGACAGACATCAATTCCTAAGCGGACTCCTGGAAGTGATGAGCTCTTCGCTTAGACTGGCAGCCGACGGAGAGGATTCTGGTGTCAAACGGCGGGAAGGAACGGTAACGTCTCCTGCACTGGGTCTGCTGTCGTCCCATGCACTGCACCCGTCATTGGCCCATCACTTCGCTCCTTCCAAAACCGGTGGCAGCTGCCGGTAGGAGCGCGCTGCTCCTGACACATCTCTTATATGAGCTCCCAGTTCTACATGCTAACACATTTGGACAACGAAACTGTTCCGGGCCCGCCTAAGCCATGAATGCTCTGACTGCCGGTGCTGCTCTCGGGAACTGGAGAAAGAGGAGTGGGCCGAGGAGCCGCATCAAGCACGACCATGTGACGCAAAACGCCTACGAACAGTTCAAACCTCCTCATGCAAACTTGAGTTCTTCATACGAACGATGAGGGTCCGACTAGAGGGATAGGATAGGACATCTTCTGCTCATGCCGGATGACAGATTGAAGTCGTTCGAACTTGATTTTCATGTAGCTAACTAAAGCTTTGAACAAAAAGCAGGAGCACGCAGCAGAAGAGTCCAGCTCGCGGATTTTGTTCGGCATCACTTGCCCAGCACATAGCCGCCGCTTGTACCCATCCGTTATTCCGAGATGCCATCCTGGTGACGGCAGGCAACATGCTTGACTTTGTGTGGAGAAGTGTTTGGCCGTTTGCCGGTTGTGGATCTCATTCCGAGACAGATGGCAGGGCTTCCACTCTCGGCCTGTGTTCACGAAGTGACCCTTCCGGGACAGCGCGAGCGATTTGGGAGAATGCTGTTGGTAATGTCCCCAGTCAGGCATCACATTGCAACTGGCTGACTTCATGCCATGGCGATGGTTTTGAAGTCCAGCTCAATGCTGCTAAAGCTGCTAAACTATTCGCTACGAGCAGCACACTCTTCATCTACCTCCGCACACGACAGGCTCAGGGCAGAGTCGCTGCGAAGGCTTTCTCCAAAAAGTGATCATTGCTACCGTCCTTGCTCCTCTTTCGATCACCAAAGTGAGTAAGGCATGGCTGTGTGCGGCTGGAGAAAGATGACCATGAAACCATGTCTTAACGCCACGTGTGAAAGGCATGGATCAAGTCGAGCGACTTTCTTACGGCACAGGCTCTCCACTGACTGTCGCCCCCGCATCATGTTGGCGCAGAGACGCATCGCCGACACTGCCGATCAGCCCTTTCCAGTACTTTCCAGGAGGTGGCAGCAAAGATGCAGAGCTTCACTGCCCTGCTGACAAACAGCGTGCCGGTGCTTTCCCCACGCTTCGTCGGCTAATGCCTATGCAACATGCCCCCTCGGGACGTTCTTAGAACGATCCCTCTAAGGCTCGGAGGCGCATTGCTTGCTCTCTGAGAGACAGCCTGACACTCTCTCCCTGGCCACAAAGCCACGGTTGGACTGCTAAACCCAAAGGAGCAGCTTCGACCACTCGAAGGCACCGAGCCACAAGGCACCGCCCAAGCCTGCTAGCATGGAAGCATCAGTCACTCCTTGCCAGAACGACACAGACGATTGGGGAGCCCGTGCCTGAGTGCAAAGCCCTTGGCAGAGCTCCACGGAAAAGCCCGGACATTCCATTCTCCTGCAGCATCGCCAGCTGCGCAGCTCTCTGCAACTGGCTGCGTCTTGTGACCCGCAGAAAGCTTTTCGTCGATCCCCCCGGTTGTTGATTCACAGAGAGGCCTGACAGATCGCACGCATCGTGCACCAGAGACCGAGTCGACGTCCAGGGTCTTCCTTGGCAGCTGCAACACTTGGGGGCTGGTGGTCAGGCAAAGAACAAAGGTTGGATTCTGTACTTATGCAAAGTTGCTGTCAGCATGATCCTCGTTTTCGCTGCGTCCAGTGGGGTGGTCGCCACCCCGGCGAAGCCACCAGCTACCGAGCCTGAGGCAGGTTCGAAGGATGGTGCAGGACATGCTGGCAAGTGCGCAACGCACTGCTGTATGCTGTCGGCGCAGACACCGCCAGATGCAAGAAGCTTGCTGAAATCTCTGACAAGGAAACCAGAAGCTGCAACCTTGCCCTTGATTTCGCATCCGTACGACCATATTGGCCCGAAAGCGCTTCTGACGCAGCCAGGCTGCCACAATGCATGCCAATCAGGCCTGAACAGGGGGCAATATCAACACGTTGGCTCGTGCAAGTGCCCGCGGATCAATTACTGTACATGTTCGCTGAACCCCGACAACCAGTACTTGTCTACATCGCTGAACCTACACATCTACATGTACCAGACACCCAATATCGACATCTCGGTTTGAACATGTGTTTGCTATTGTCTACGTGAATGCGTACGTACATTGTCCGTACAAACAAAAATGCCGACATGTGCACGGACAGAAAACAGACAGACAAACGAACAGCCAGATATTTGTGTGTAATTACACACCCTATGTATGTATTTATATATATATATATATATATATGTATGATGCATGGCTGCTGCAGCCCTCCGTCTTCCTGATAGGTCATGCTTAGCCTTGGCTGGCCCCGCCCTGGCCTGTGGAGGGCTGTTGGCTTCGACAGGCAAGTAAGACTTTCGATACATTGGTCTTACCAAAAGTTGCGAGTGAGCAAATCTTCGTACAGCACTATGTGCATGCGACATGTGTGCAATGTATGCATGTTATCAATCTTTGGTTCGACTCACTAGTTTGTCCTACACAAAAACTAGACATTGACCTCTCCTCGAAGTCATTCCTGATTGGGCCAAATCATTGATTGCCTGCTTAATCACGTACAGAACTATACTTTTGTGCCTACGATTGAAACTCTACAATAGGCAAACTGTGCTGTACGAACATGCTCATTCTGGTTTAGACCTACGGAGTTTCTAAAACAAGTGTAACAGTTGTCTACTTATGTTGCTTCATGTTTGCGTGGGGAGGACTTTACAGTCGCTGTGTTTTGAATTTTTGTGTGGCTTTAAATGGTGTCTGCAATAAGCAGACCTGAATCAATTGTAGTATCCTTAAGGGAGGGGAGTCCAAGGGGGGTATATAGCCTAGTGATCCCTAATTCTCCCTAGTACTCCCTAAGTTTCCCTTACAGTCCCCTAAGGATTCCTTATACCCTCCCCCCTTGAACCACCCTCCCTTAAGGATCCTATAAATCAACATCTTTTTTGCATCCTGCATGGCTGAGTACACGAAGCAGGACGTCAGGTACCAACTCTGTCACGAAATCCGCCCACGTATTTCAGGCAATTTGCAAGCTATTGCCTGAAATACTTGGGCGGAATTCGTGACAAAGTTTGTTAATCAACATGTAACATCAGCAATGTTCACACCAAAATATCTGACATTGGACAGGTGCAAAGTTTGGAGAACGATTGACGGAGGATAGGTTCATACGTATCAAAATGAACAAACACACGACTCAACAACTAGAAAGCATGGTTTATAATGTTGGGTCAGTACTAGACAATGTACTGGACAATATGCGAATTACGATAGGTGGGTGTCAATCTGCCCAGTAAAACTTAATTGGGAAATTGTAAAACCATGGGGAGGTACAGAGTAGTACAGAGTGTTAACTGGGTCAGTATTGTTGAAGTACAATAAGAACAGCAACAGAAACAATGGAAACTGCAACAATAACCAAAAGAATCCAAAAGAAAGTAAAGCTACACTCTTTGCCGTGCCAAGGATTGTACAAAATACTAACAACATTGGAATCATTGTGTAAAAACAACTGGAAGTTCAATGAACATTTGTGTTAAAAGCAACAGCCAAATAGACATAGCCCCCATCCACCTCGATATGAAACCTGTTTCGGTGGCCTCGGGGAAGCCATGCCAGCTATGCTCCCATGCCATGAACTTTGTTTGTCTAAGTGTTAGTGTGCTTCAATAGGTCTGTTTGTCATAGAGTGTTTCAGTAGGCTGGCTCGGCCATACGGCCGCAGTTCTGTCGCACTCGCTCAGTACTGTATGCCGGCTCCTCGCGACCAGTGGAATCCTTGATAGCTACTTGTGCGTGTGCTTTCTTTGCTGCTTTCGGTGTGCGCATGCACTCGCAGTCTTTTCTGTCCGATTTCCTTCGTGCTTGCTCGTGATGCTTGAGCAACAGTACTGGTTGCTTTTAACCCATTAAAAAAAGCCTTTGACACAACATCCATGATTCAGGGTTGGCTCGTGTTTTTTTTTTTGCGCGCCTTTTTACGACAGCGAAGAAAGTCCCGAGTCAGCCTACTGTGTGCGGGGCCGTCTGCACCCCGCGTTGCGCGCTCAGAGTCGACTGGGCGGCGGGGGCTGGTGGCCCGCCAGGAGCTCCCCGAGTGGGGGTTCAAGGCCGTCCGTTGGGTCACCAGGCCCCGCGATGGGTAGCTCGAGCAATGAGCACGCATGCGCGCGTAGGGCGGCGAACAATGCAAGCAACGTCCAGCGGTGCGTCATGGCTCGCTGCGCTCCGACCGCACACCACGGCGCCCTTTGGCGGGCCCGCGCCTTCGCGAGCAGTCGCAAGAAGGTGAGCGTGTTCGGGCTGATGCGCCCTCCGACCTCGACGCCGAACACGACCAGTCGGCAGCGCCGGGCTTGTCTCAGTTCAGGGTAAGTCCGGCGTTTGCGGTCGACTGCTTGTGCCAAGGCGAGGCCCGGTTGCTGGTCAGCCCGCGGGCGGGGCTGGCCATCCCGGCGGACCGGGCTTACAAGGGTCGCGTCAGCGACCACCTCGATGCGGCGTCCGTCGCTCGCGGGCACGTTGAGGTTGAGGTCTCTGAGGGCGACGTGCGTTGCGACGCGGGCACCAGCCTCCCTGCTGATGCGAGCCGCTGCCCGCTCCAAGGGGCCAGCTCGTCGCGCCAGGACACCCACCTGTGAGCAGGCCGACCGGTGGTCGCCGTATGCGTCCAGGAGTCCCCCGCAAGCGCAGCGTTTCGGGGCGAGCGGGAGGGGCAGGCGGAGTCTGCGGAGCAGCATCACTCGGAACTCCGCGTCCGGTACTCGGGTGTCGGCGCTCGCAGGGAAAGCCGTGAAGGCGCAGCTCGGGGCATCGCCACCTTGCGACAGCAGCAGCGCTCGGGACGCAGGGTCAAGCTCAGTGAAAAGCGTCTCGAGCGCGCGCTTGTGCAGGGCTTTTGATGCCGTTCGCTGCCATCCCGGTCTTTCTCCTGGGGCAGGGCGGGCGGTGAGGCCGGCGGGGGCGGCGCCATCCTCCTCCAGCAGTTGTGCCCAGGTTGGCGCGGGGAAGCCGCCCAAGCGCAGGACGCGGGCGGCCTGTTCCGCTGCTCGCGTGCTGGGGGGGGTTCCGCTGGCCGTCGCGTCCAGCAGTGGGCGGAGGAGGTTGGCCAAAACGCCCGGTTGGTGCTGCCGCAACGCTCGGACAG